CGGCACACCCAAACACTCAGACTCATTCCTATTCACACCCATTCGACAGCCGGGTCCGGTTTTTGTTTTTGCTGGCTTATCGGGGGAGCTGCGGATTTGGATCGGAATGGATCCAATCCGATCGGATTGGCTTGGCTTGGATTGGGTCGATCGTTCGATGCTCGATGCCAAGTTTTCAAGTTTCCAAGTGGCTGGCTGTGGGCCGCCTACTGTGCACTCTAAAAAGTCAAAATCAATTATAAATCGAAATAAAAAGCAATTCTAAATTAAGATATATTTTCTAGAACAGATTTTATTAAATATAAAATATATATGCAGTTGGAGAAAACATATAACACAAATGTATTAGCTAATCCTTTAGTTATTACATTTTTCGAAGCTGAAACATGAAGAAATATTTTAAATATGTTTGTTAAGTCATACTTTTTTTAAGTTTTATATTTTTTAAGTTTTTAGGGCTGTGATCCTTCGCAGATTAGATGTTTTTTATATCACTAGCTCAATAATTTTTGCTCATTCCGTTTTTTTAAACATTATAAGTAAATGCTACATTAGCTCTAAGCCTATAATTTTTCTGATAATAAATACCTTAAATATATTTATAATATTATGATATAAATTCCTTTAAAAAAAATCATTAAAGTGAGACAATTTTCTAAAATGTATCAAATAGCTTTGGTTAACTTGTTATATTCACTTTTACACCTTTTTTTCTCTGAGTGCCGCCCAGGGGCCGTCAGTCAGTCTAGCGTGCTCCGTCCGCGATTGACTCAGCGCCCCCCCTCCATCCTCTGATGGTCCGATCTCTCCGATCGGTCAAGATATAGTGGCGATGGGTTGTGTAAGCCGACCGGAATCGGAATCTCCCTGGGCGGGAGAAACAGGTGGTTTGTTTTTGTTTTGCTTTGCACTCGTTTATGTGCTTTTAATCGGATATATCTGTTTGTATATTTGTATGTTTGTGTATGTACAAACGATTTGCTCCGAATCGGCTATTATTCTATTAAAATATTCAGGTTTTGGAGTGACTGGGAGGGGGGAATTTCCTCACCGACAATTTGCAACTTTGTAACTACGCTTGGGCTTTCCTACCCCCCATTTTCGTTTAAACAAATATTTGTAAAATAATTAATTTAAATTAATTGAAACATATTTTCCCCTCAGCTTCGGAATGTTCCACGATACCGCGAAAATTGGCTGCCATCCGCGTGTGGGTCCCATTGTGCACATCATGACGCCCACTTTCGGGGCGGACACCCTGCAGGTTTGCTGGTCGAACTGCAGCCGCAAGTACATCACGCACTTCCTGGAGTAAGTAGTCCAAGTAACTAATAATAATAAAACATATGTAAAGATGGTACATAAAGTACGAACCTTTTTCAATTGGTCGAAAAATAGAAAATTGTAGAGGCTGTAATTTTTAATAAATAAAATTTGGATAGAATTTTAATTTTCAAAAAAGACAAAAGCATCTTAAAATTGTTAAATAAAATTTAAAAAATGCCTTGCCTTTTGAAAATAAATAATATTGACTGGTGCAATAATAATAATTAGGAAAATGTATTTTTTTTAAGCTATAACTAATAGTAACTGCTAAAACTATTCTTAGGTGTAACTGATTTTTGCTCTTATTGTAGTTTCTTAGTAATAATTTTTTGGGCTTTATAATCATTACAATTAATTTAATATACAAGACCTGATATTTCGTCGCTCAAATGCTTTTTTATTTTTATTATAAAACTTCGAAATTAATAATTATGGAGGAGTAGAAAATATTATAATTGTGATTTTTATATTTAAAAAAAGTATGTTTTTAATGTTTTTAAAACATTTGAAATATCATAGCATAATGGAATTCATCTTTATAGTCTTTACAATTTGATAATTACAAAAATTATTTATTTTATTTATTTATCCTCTAATTATAAAATATTTTGATGCCATCTATTATCTTATCTTCCGAATTACCTGCATTTCAGTCAAGGATTGGGCGAGTGCCTGGACGACCCGCCGACGCCGCTGGACGAGTACAACTACACCGGCGAGCTGCCGGGGATGCGGTACAACGCGAGGGGCCAGTGCCGCCTGCAGTTCAACCTGACCACCGACAGCGAGGTGGGCGCCTGTTCCACGCCCCACGAGCTCTGCTCGACGCTGTGGTGCAGGGTGAACGGGGAGTGCGTCACCCACATGCGGCCCACCGCCCCGGGGACGCTGTGCGGGCGGAACAAGTGGTGCCAGAACGGCAAGTGCGTGCGCCGCGAGGAGCTGGCGGCGGTCAACGGGGGCTGGGGCGACTGGAGCGAGTGGAGCGAGTGCTCGCGCAGCTGCGGCGGCGGGGTGTCCACCCAGCAGCGGGAGTGCGACAGCCCGGTGCCCGCCAATGGCGGCGTCTTCTGCATCGGCGAGCGGAAGCGGTACAAGATCTGCCGGAAGCGTCCGTGTCCGGCGGAGGAGCCCAGCTTCCGGGCGCAGCAGTGCGCGCGATTCGACAACGTCAGCTACCAGGGAGCCACCTACAAGTGGCTGCCCTTCTTCGACAAGAGTGAGTCCATCTGATGAGCTAATGTGTCTTTAAACTATCTCTAAGGAAAAGATTTGTATTTTAAAGCCTAAAACAATTGTTTTAATTTCTTAGATCCTTACACAAGAATTTTTAATTTTTTATTAACCTTATTTTATTAAATTGAAAATATAAAATATTTATTATATCTATCTATCAAGTGACCTTTTAAATATTTGGTTTATATTAAATAATTCATTTATATTTATATTCTTCACCAGAAATTGAAATTTGTTTAAATTTGTAATTATATCTAAAACTAAAATACATAAATAATAAATCTAAAAATCATTAAATCTCTGATTAAAAAAATAATTTTTAAAGCATCAAAGTAAAATCGCTATAAATCGTATAACATGAAAAAAGGTTTATTCTAAAATCCTACAGATATAACAATCTTTTGATTCGACTTCATTTAACTAAACTTTTTTCTCTGTGTAAAAAATATACATCTTTAACTCGATATCTCCAATTAAGTTAGTTGGTAAAAATCATCCGTTGGCACCAAACCCTTTCTCAATCAAAATTTTAAATTAAAAATTAAAAAAATATGTTTTTAATAATAACATTACATTATAGTCGAACACTTTATAATAATAATAATAATTACCAAAAATGAAATCAGAGCTAATACGATTGATATATCCGCCAGATAATCCCTGCAAGCTGTTCTGCAGCGACGTGGACGACACGATAATCGCCAACTGGGGCTCCACGGTTCTGGACGGAACGCCCTGCACGCTGGGCACGAACAACATGTGCATCGACGGCATCTGCAAGGTAGGGTATCCCAGATCCCATTTACGATATTATTGAGCCCTGAGCCCGAACCGCCTCTTGTTCAGAAAGTTGGTTGCGATTGGATCGTCGACTCGGAGGTGCAGGACGATCGCTGCGGTGTCTGCGGCGGTTCTGGCGATCAGTGCCAGCCGGTGAGGGAGACCTTCGCGGATCCGTTTGCCGCCAAGGACGGGGCCTATGTGGAGATCGTCACCATTCCGGCGCGGGCCAGGCACATCCTCATCCGGGAGCAGGCCAACTCGGCGCACTTCCTGGCCATCGCGACGGCGAACGGGGATCGGTTCTATCTGAACGGCGATAGCCTCATCTCGATGCCCGGCGAGTTCGAGATCGCCGGCGCCGAGAGCCTCTACGATCGGGTCGACGAGCAGGAGACCATCACAATACCTCAGCCCATCCAGCATTCCATATCGCTATACGTAAGTGATATTTAAAATTAATCATATGCCTTAAAAACCTTAGAACTCTCCATAAATGCGAAATAAATATTTACAATATTTTAAACAGAAAAAACTATATACCAACAAATAGAATTACTATTAAAATATTTTTTTTTAGTTTAAATTTAAAACAAATACATTAAATGGCCTTGAGGTACATATTTAACAATATTTCCCAAATAAAATAGAATATTTTTTCCAATTTGTAAAATTTTGTTTTTAATTTTTGTATTCCGAAGGTAAATACATTTTGTCAAGGATTTTTTGGAAAGTCTTTATTTATTTATTTGTTTTTTTTTTTTTTCATTTATTCTGAATTTATTTTTTATACATATTTTTAATAAGTTATTAAATGTTTTTTATTTATTTCGTATTTGTCTTTCAATGTTTTTTTTTAAGTTATTAGTTATATTTTTGTTTTTTTATATTTATTTTTTTTGTATTTATTATTCATATATTTTTAAATAATATTCAATAATTATTTTTTACCTATTTATTTAAAATTCGGCCAATCGTTTATATTCTTAAGCTAATTTTGCAATATTTTAAATTTCTTTTTTAAATGATTTTTAATTTTCCCGAATTTTCTCTGATTTTCCTCTGGCTTTTCCAGGCGATTGTGCGCGGCAATGAGAGCAACGCTGGCATTTTCTACGAGTTCACGCTGCCGGCGCTGAATGTGAGTGCCGGCAGGCAGTTCCTGTGGCGGCTGAGCAACTGGACCTCGTGCTCCGCCAGCTGTGGCGGGGGAGTTCAGCACCGGGAGCCCATCTGCCAGGAGAACGGCAAGGGTGAGTGGTGGCATTTTCACCCCAGAATGTTCATTTAAATAATTTCCTTTAATCCAAAAGGTCTGGCTGATACGTTGCCCTGTTGGACGCACGCCAAGAACAAAAGACCTCCACGGCAGTCGCGAGGATGCGGCGAGCAGCCATGTCCTGCCCACTGGTGGCCGGGTCCTTGGCAATTCTGTCCCCTGACCTGCCGTCCTCCGGGAGGAGCCGCCTCTCCGCCACTCCGCCGACGGTCCGTCGTCTGTCTGGACCAACACGACGTGGTGGTGGCCGATACGGAATGCGGACTCCTGCCGAAGCCACCGGAAATGGAGCCCTGCGAATCCTCGCTGCCCGATTGCAGAACCAAGTAGCAAGCATAAAAGTCCCCTACATATTTATTGAAAGTACCCGGAAGAGTACTTTGTAATCGAACATATTTATTCAGCGAGTAAGCGATCATCCCAGATGTACTTAACTAATCATACGCACAAAAACAAGCAAACAAAAAAAAAAAGAAAAAATGTGGAAATTACATAGGCTAAGGATAATGCTTAGATAATGCGCTAGCTATAAGGCATCTTATGTATTACGATCGCGGGCTTATCGATAGATATATATATATATATACTATACACTATATATATAGTATTTAGGTTACTCAATACAGAATAGATGTATGCGGAATTGCCGGCTCTCTACGTTGTTCATATCACATGGGTGGTGGTTTTGGGGGCAGCTAATTTATGATGGTTAATTGATAATCCCTAGAACCGAGTGTTATCCGGCATCTTGCGGAAGTAGGCTATCTTGTCCGTGGGCACCCGGTAGCCGTGCATCCATCGACTGCCCTTCCTCAGCGATCCATCGATGCCATCCTTCCACACGCCCTGCGGCAGGTAAACTGGAAGGATAAATACAGAATTAATTCACGTTTAACTTGGCTCAGAGAGTATTTCATTAAAATCCTGGCATATATTAATTGAATAAGGCAATAATTATTCATTTAAAACTGGGTTTGGTCTATCCAGATAATCATAAATTATAACTAGACAAAGGATTATATAAGAAACAGTATTAACATTTGAATTTAAGCAAACTTTCACCCAAAAAATATCGATATGAATCGTAGGTTAATTTTACCTTATTTAAGATCAATTTTAATTTGACCTGGTCTCAGGTAAATTTGACCTGGTCGAAAAGGCTACTTTATATAGAAACGACCTGGATGTTGCATGACCTGAAATTTACATGGCCATATCGATTTTACGGTAACATGATTTTTTTCTGTGTAGTTAAAATCAAACTATTTTTCAAAAAAATTAAATTTACTTTGAACAATTTATCTTAAATTAAAGATTCCTAGGAATCGACTAATAAGAATACGTTTTTGCATATAATCCGATGTCTAAAGGAAATATTGACCCAAATATGGATTGTCAAACCTTTCTGAACTCGTTATTAAATTTCCAATCGATTGGCGTTTAAGCCTGGACATTTTATTTTTTTTTTTAAATTTTTTTGCAAAAAATTATGAGGTACCCCCTTTTAAAAAAATTGAAAATTGGCGAAAATTGTATTTTTTCAAAATCACACGGAAAGTGTTATGGATTTAATTATTAATTGTTATCTGCTTAAAACAAACAGCATTTTTGGTGTATGACCATTTTTGGCAAAGTTACAGAAAAAAAAACCAAAAGAAAAATAAATAAAAAATTTCTCCAAAACTGACTGAAAAGTAATGCAGTTATGATCAGATAAATTTACATACATTTCCTAGAAATTCGAAGAATAACTAAAAATCTTTAAAAAATATTTAGAAAAGGCCCACAATTAAAACAAAGCCAAATAAGAATTTAGATCAACTTATATGGTCCAAAAGTTAGTAACTTCTCAAAAGTCCCCCATAAAACCCACTATAATCCCCGGTTTTCCCTGCCAACATAGACTCACCTTCTCGCTCCTGTCGCTTGGCATGCAGAATGGGCGCCACGATCAGCTCCTCGCCGACGGAGAACTCGTCGCTGACAATGAGGCAGGCGGGATCGTGGGGATCCATCATCCAGAGTGGCCGCACCAGCGGCAGACCCTCGTCCATCGAGGACTTGAGGTACTTCTTGAGCAGCGGAATGACATCATTGGTGCGCACCTCCTTCAGTTCCTGGGCCACCCGGGTGACCAGATCGCTGCGATACTCGGAGGGCAGGTGGCTGAACTGCATGGCCGGCATGAAGGTGGCCAGCTGGAGCCAGCGGATGAAGAGTTCCGGATCGGGCAGCGGTGGCTGGGCCATTGAGTAGAAGGAGACCATTTTGGAGAGCGGACGCTGCAGCAGATAGTCGCCTCCAATCACTCCCGGCAGGACGAAAGGATAGCCGATGACGCCGTAGTTGAGCACGGCGCCCAGGGTCTCCCTCAATCCCTCCCAGGTGGCATTCGCGGGCGGAGTGCTGAGGAAAGTGGGCGGTTTGGGCACCACGCTGGCCGTGGAGACGGCCATCAGTCCCGCTCCCTCCAAGCTGGCGGTGAAGAGCCGGGCATAGGTGTCCGGATTGTCCAGCGTCTGGCGGCACTGGTAGTAGTGCGGCAGATTGTAGCCCGTTCCGAGGTCCAAGTAGAAGCTCTGCACCCCGTACTCCTCCTTCAGGCGCTGCAGCTTCTCCAGCAGCCAGGGCACCGAGGCATTGTTGGTTATGTCCAGGACCCCGGCACTGGAGCTGCTCTTGTACCTTAATCAAATATTTTGTAAATGTTAATATAAGTTGTTTGGATTGTATAAGTAGCCAGTTAAGGTATATCCGTTGGCGAAATAAATAAATAAATATTTATAAATAAGTAAATAAATTTGTACCTGGTGAGAGCGGGAATACTCCTCTCCGAGTGGCGTTCGTAGATCAGCAGCTTTTGCTTCACTGCATCCTTGAAATTCGCGCTATCCGTGCTGATAAAAGGCTGAATGGTGAGCACCACCTTGAAGCCCCGGCGATCCAGCACTCGTATGGTGTCCTTTAGAGTGGGAAATCTCGCCTTATCCACCGTAAAGTCGCCAATATTCTCCTGCCAAAACTCGTTGATGACTATGTGACCCAGGCCCATGGCAATCGCACTCTCGGAGTAATCGCAAATGGAGGATTCGTTCAAGGATTCCGGGGTCTCGGCATGCGGAATCCGCCAGACGGGCTCCTCCAGCAGCGAGTTGAGCACCTCCATGTCCAGCTTCTTGAGCCCGTCCCACAGACTCTGCTGGGTCATCAGCATGTGCAGGCTGCGCATGTCCTCGGTGGTGCAGATGCGGTAGTCCAGCTGGGGCAGCGGTGTCAGTCGATTGACGAAGGTGAACTCATCGTTGGCGGCCCGCAGGCAGAAGCGATTCTCCGTGCGATTGACCCCCAATTGGAGCGGGGTCCTCTCACTCACCTGCATCGCAACGCCAATGGAGTTGATGAAGTACCTCTTCACACCGTTGCCAAACTGATGGATCTTGCTGTCGCCGGAGGCATAGGGTGCAAAGTCGAAGTTGGCATAGCTGAGAGACCACTCCTGACCCTTGGTCACTCCACCACCGAACCACAGGCCATTATCCCGCTTCAGCTCGTAGCAATCGGTGGGCAGGAGGCCGGGGGTCAACGATTGCCACTGCAGCGTGTAGCACCGGAAGACGCCCTTGTCCTCGAAATTCAGATGCAGCCGCGCCACCCCGTTCCACTCGATGCACACGCTCCCATCGCTCCGCCGATGGTCCTCCAGGCAGTGGAACGGCGCCGTGTCGAAGCCCAGCGTCACGCCCAGCTGGCCCGAGATCACCTCCTTGTCCTCGTGGCTCAGGATCCGGAAGATGCGGTCGTGCGAGTTGAACTTGATCTTCTGGAAGTAGCTCTTCGTGAGCATCTGCTGGTGGTAGGCCACGTACGCATAGCCGATCTATAACAGAAATAGGGTTCGTTGATAAGATAAATGGAATGGTAGAAATAAATATCTTATTTTTTTTTTAATTAAATACAAAATCATATTAAATTTCAAAATTCAATTCAAAAATATCTGAATCAAGGTCGAAAATATTAGATTTGTTGTTATTCATATTTACTTAAAGTATTTTACGTCATTAAAAAAAAGAATTTAATATTCAAACCAAAATTGAAAATATATAAATTATATTTAAATGGTAAAACTATTATTTTTATGTTTAAAATTAGTAAAAACCTCAATGGATGAAAAACATAGACATTGAATATGAAATCTTTGGATTTAATACGTTTTTTTAACAGTGTTCAATATTATATCTTGAAATTTACACAAGTTTAAATAATGATAAAGAGAATAATAAAAGAAAAACAAATAATAAATATACAAATTACTACCAATAAATTGTTATAAATATTAGAAGTCTATATAGCATTTAGAAAAAATAAAAAATATATTGAAATAATTTAATTTGTTATTATAGAGAGTAATATCGAGCAAAAAGCAAAAAGAAATTGAAGACGAATTTATAAATTGGAGTACCTAATACAACCGAAATAAACGATGAATGAATTTTAAAAGAATTTCCTCAGAGATTACATATCAGTAGGTAATATTTTTTAAGGCCTTCTCAAGTTTGGTAAGGAACTTTGTCAAAATACAACACTTTTCAAAGCACTTTTAAAATAAAAAGGTTTATGATAAACGGCTCAAAGCAGGCTTAAGACTTCAACATCTATTTTTGACATAAAGCTAAATTATTTGAGCAGCCTTTATCAATGCGAACAAAGTACTTTTATCTCATGAGGTTCAAAGCCTTCAGTTCGTTTTGACAAGTCTAAATCAGCTACTAAAGCATCAAGCGAAACTACAAAGTCATTGTCTTATTGATATTAAGAATTCCCTTTTGGAAATAATCTACAAATTCTATTAAAAGCTCTTCATCATGCTTTGTGATCACTCATTATGCTGGTGCTTTGAAACACCGAGTGATCGAATGAACAGATAGCTTACCAGAAAGATGATGATGAAAAACATGATGATAACGAATATCTTGATTTTGTAGTCCTTGGTCTCCCGCTTTTTCTTTCTTATCAGTTGTGGAAAGGCCTAGGGAGTTATTTTTTGATTATGAAGTGACCTTTGAACTCTGCACTGAAAGAGCCCACTCACCTGCATCTTTTCGCGGAGTAAACTGGCCAGGGAATTGACACTCGTGATGGAGGCCTGATTGGAGGCCAGACTGTGGCTATCAAAGTCACTGGCCAACATCTCTTTGCTGTTCAATCGCAGGGCGGGCAGAGGGGCAATCGAGGCACGTCTTCTACTTCGAAAACGATCGCTGTAAAATAAAGAAATATTTATTTTTAATATAAAAAGTTGATTTAGCAATATAGGCAAAGGTTATAAAGGTTATATCACCTCTTAAAAATAAATAAAACAAATATATTTAGACTGATATCTTTGAATTCCTCGATTATTGCTTTTATGAATTTTTACAAATGAAGATATTGTTAATTTTATAACCCCATATTATAACCTTTTTTTCTGAGAATCAGCCCAACCAAAGAAGACCTCCGCTTGTTGTCTCTTTGATACTCATAAAGTTCAAACAGCGATAGGGCCCAAATTAATTTATGACTCCGATAAGCAAGGCTGTAATATATATTCTCATGTCAGCTGATGCCTTGTAAAAATATCAGTTAAAATTGAAACAAATATATAAACTTTTCCAAAAAAAATATTTATAGAAAATGTATGTCTTGGCGAATATTCATAGAAATATCCAAAATTAATCCATTGATAAACAAATATATTTTTTTGCGACATTGGTCTATTAAATCCCAATAAGATAAGGGGGTGGAATACTTGTAGGAACCAGAAGATGCAACCGTATGCCATGGACCCTGAACTTGCAACGGCTTATCGCCCTTATCTTCCCCTTGCGGGCGGAAGACAGTCGTTAAGCCCACTTCTCGAGGCCCCAGATGAATTTCTGTTTACATAACACACAGCACATACATATAGCACACACTTTCTGCTCCGTCGGTATGCAAATCTCGTCGTAAACAAATCGCAGAACCAAAAAATGGCAACAAAAAACACGAAAATCTGGGCAACTGCTCTATAATTATATATAAGTACGGGTGTATATACTTGCTTGGCCTGATTTATTTACAGTTGATAAGCGGCTTGGCAGCTCTCAAAGTCGTAAACACTTACCGGGGCCTATAGCCGATATATATGTGGTATATATATGTATTTATGGATAAAGCGAATGCAGTTTGAAATGGATATATAGATATACGGATGTTATCACGCCCAATCGCGATCATCAACTGAGCCGAGACTCGCCATATGTCGCCATAGCTCCAGATCTGTAGAGTCCGGGTCGCGTACTTTTGCTGGAGCTTCCTCTCCTCCAAATTAACTTATCATCCGCGAACAGATTGGAGACCCGTCGCAGTCTTGTCTCCGCCTGTAATGTGCTTAAGCACTTAAATTGCCCTCATCGCGTGTGTGTGCCGTGCCGGCAAAAGCCGTATGACACCGGACTTTGGAGAGATCCCACAGAGTTCCGCAAGTATTTTTTAAGTACAACTGATATACCGCTTTTATCACAAATCTCAGTGACACAGGGAACTTGGAGAAATCTTACTGAGTTCCGCAGGTGTTTTAATACCCTTTTATCTTTTACTTTGGACAGTTCTCACAGAGTTTTAAAAGATTTTTTAGGTATTCCTAATACCCTTTTTATCAATAATCTGAGTGACATAGGGGACTTGGAGAAATCTTGCAGAGTTCCAGAAGTATTTTATCAAAAATCTGTGTAGCATTTGAATTTAAAAAAAAAATCTCACACATTTATAAAAATATTTAACCAGAGGTCTTTAGAGATATTTCACAGACATACATCCTTCTTAAAAAAAAAACGAAAAGTATTAATAAATAAATAATAAACCTTTTTCTCATGAAAAATATAAATGGCAAAGGGGTTGATGAAATTTCGGAATATTTCATTTGAATACCCATTGATTCTGTGGGACTAATGAATAATGGGAGAGCACGGACGATGCTAAAATTTAATATTTATAAAGAGAGCAGGAAATGTTCAGTTCATATGTGTACTGACATTGATTTCTTTAATTAAGCATTATGGATGTATAACACTGAACTAAATTGATACTAACGTTTTAGAAATTAAAAAAAAACATTCCTAATACTTAAAAAAGCTTAAAATAAATGACATTATTTATAAATTTATCTTACAGTTAAAATTTGTTTTCAAATGCACTGCATCTTATTTGTATACCTCGAAGTTGCTAAGCCGATTTGAAGTCACTCAAAAACAGAGAATGCAATTACTGATAACAGAACCCTTGTCGAAAGTAATAAAACATATTCGAGTCGGCTGGTTTCAACTGCTTTAGATTGCCATGAAACCAGATAATTAATCTAGTATTAAGTAAGTATATAATTTATACATATGTACTGTCAATACATCAATTCTTTCGGGGGGATTTTCATTTCAATATAGTGTCATCTCTTAAATATGCAAAAGATTGAGCGCATGCGCAGCTTACAGAAAAAATCCCAAGATACACAGAAAATATTTATAAACTTAAAAATAAATATTTTTCTTGTTACCTAACATATACATTTACATAAACATTGATCTGTTAATAAAATATATATTATTTCGTGTGCTAACAGTGATTTGGAGTTCTATCACTTAAAGTATTAATAACTATTATTCGGCCAACACTTTGCTCGATTCCAAATGGGTAATCATAGGAATTCACAGCGCCACGCGATTGAATGAGGCGAAAAGGGGAAAAGTCGAATGAAAATCGCAATCGAATTAGCATGGAAAGTGGGCAGTAACTGTAACCCATACTCGGAGAATGGGGCGTTGGAAATCGGGCGTTAATATCGGGGGGAATGGGAATGTTGGGAAAGGCACGTTCCATTCGACGAAGTCGACGCCACAATTGAATTACTGTCGTTCGGAGACAAAAGGCAGCGGCTTTCAATTAATTAATCTAATTGCCCGATGAATCAAATGGGAAATGTGCCGAATGACAGCGTGAGCTAAGATTAAAGCAAACTGGATGCTGGATGGAAAACTGGCGAAGAATTTGGGTATCCTGTCGGCGGCCCTTCATCTTTAAGGATCTAAAGAGCGGCCATTTGAGTTAATCATCATTAAGATATTTGACACACTATATATTACGAATTCTATGGCATTATCACTTTTATTGAAAAATTTAAACCTATACATAATAATAAAAATAATGATCATACTGAAAAAAAGTTAAACAAAAGTATTACCAATCGCGAAAAAAATTGAAATAATTATAAAATGTTATAATTATAAAAAGTTATCTTCATATTATTTATTATTATGTAATTAATAATACCAAATTTATTTTAAGATTTAAAATTAAAAAAATTATTTTAAAAAACCAACAGTGCTATTAATGAAATTCTAAACATTTCACTAACAATGATAGTTAAAAACGGTTCATAAATATTTGTATTTTAAGTTAAAAAAACAATATACAAAATATAAACTCTTTAGGTATTACTTTTAAGATTATACCACATTTGTTATTTATGGTATGGTATCCAAACATAACACTCACCGGTGGACGGGTCTTCTGGCGTTCCCGAACTCGTCATCGCTGTCATCGTTGGCGCTGCTGGCGTTGGCGAAATTGATGGCCGTACCGCTGACGGCCTTATCCGGCGTATTCGCCGATGTCGTCGGCGCCGTAATGCCCGGAGTGCCTGGAGTGCCCAGGCTGGAGGCCGCATCGTCGGCTATCTAAAAACGAATAAAAAAAAATCCGGAATTTATATAGCCAATATTCGCTTTTTTTTTTTGGTTTTCGTTACACTATCCACCACACACTCCATACTATAGATAATGCAAGCAACAGTAAACAATTGTAACTAGAAAGCAGAGAGTGTGGGATTTTGGAGGGGCATAGTAATATACACATACTGGATCGGTTCTGCTTGGGGTGCTGGGCTTTTGGCACCTGCCTGCACTTGGGCAAGGTGAGTACAATTAGCACAGAGGCGTTACCGCAGAGAACCTTGTCGATATAACCGCAAAACCCGGGCGAATAATGCTAGCCAGGTGAATAAGTACTTTATAGACTGTAAGCCACACTTAGTACCTGCCTCATCCTTATCCAAATCCAGTATTATATCGCTGTCTATATCCTTGTCCGGTGGCTGATCCTCACTGGGCACACTCGACAGGATAAACCGACTGTTGGGTGAACTCATTTTGCGGCACTCAAAGGAGTTCTTTATGTCACTGAACTAAAATATGATTTTTCCAATATTTCTGATAAGAAATCAATCTCACTTTTAAAATGGTTCACATTTCACAAAGTCACAGCTAAATTAATTACCTATATTTTATGGGATTGATATTAATTGATCTAATCAATAAAATTTATTTATTATTTATTTTGAATTTGAAAAAATCCAATCCAATTTATTTTAATATGTTTTTAATTAAATAATTATTTGTTAATTTCGCTTGTGAATTTATTTCTATAATATTTCTTCGTATTAATAGGTCCAAAACATTCGAAATAGGTCACCGATCCGTGCTCTGTTAATGCCGCGATCGCACTGTTAACCGTTGATAATTGCTGGATTGCTATTGCCTGAATATTGTTTTTGAAGCCTCAATTTATGCGTTTTAATCGCTCCGCTCTCGCTGTCGCCGTCGCTGCTTGCGTCGACGTCGGCAGCGCAATCCGAGTGGGGCGTTGAGTGGGAATATTCACACCCACACTCAGAATAATCACAGCCAAGTTGACTCGACTCAAAGAGCCGTGCGAAAAGCCCGCGGGTGAGTGGGAATTTGATTTTGGTTTTGATAGAATTACCCGGCAGTCGTAAATTAATTGTGCTACCCTGATTGGTTATGTACCGTTTTAGTTTTAGCTTTTTAGCGCTGAGCGGTGGCGCTCGATTTAGCCTTTAATCGTGACGACTGGCCATAAATAAGAATACACTGCTAGTTAAATATATTTACAAGTCTAGTTCAACGGTAAAATATTTTTTAACAAACTTAATCCAATGTGCCAATATTCTTTGCATTTAAGCAATTTACTAAAACAGAAAAAATTTTATAATTTATATGAACAAAAAATCGTTATTTTCTGAACACTTTACATGTGTGTTCCCATTCTCTAACCGGTTGGAAGAAGCGTGAGCTAAACCGCTTCACATCCAGTTAACACCCGTTTCGAATGAGATACCTTCTGTTTTTTTTTTCTTCCAATCTGAATTTAAATTAATTTCTTGGTGCCTTATAGTTTTTAAAAACACCTTATTTTGGTTTAATTTTCTTAGCTTTTAAACATATAAAGATTTTTGTTTTAATTTTTTTATTTCACTACCCCGCTTAAAAATAATGACATTTCATTATTTTTTTCAAAACATTCAAGCAACACTTAGTTTCATTATGGACTTTAATATTAAGTGAAAATAAAAGACAGAACAACTCGCTAATTAAATCTAAGTGGTGTGACATTTATTTCTACCTTTGAATATTTATTTTTTCTTCACTTTCTTAGGTTTTATCGCATCAAAAGCGGAAAGTTTCCTGCCATTGAAAAATAATCAAAAGAATAATTGCATACTTTTAGGCAGCCCCAGCAAAGACCACACTGCGTATGTGTGATTTTGTTTTTTGTGTGAGACTTGATTGCTTAGGTACATCACACATACGCCGCATTGGCCTGGCCACGCCCCTTCGCCCCTCCGCCCGACCGACGGCTTATTTGCAGCTCTATAATTAGCGCAAGTCATCCGTCGCTTCTTTCTGACATCAGTAATGAGTTCTAGTGCTAACAAACCTACAAAATAATAGACATAATCTCCCACGGCAAAAATATTGGCAGCGCTAATAATTCAATTTGGATATTCTAGATGGGGTGGGGTTCGGACAATGTTAATATTTGTGGGAAATATCAGTAATCAATCACAGTTGCATCACTTCGATCAATAAATATAGGAACTTATGTCTTTGAAAGCACATAATATACCAGAATTATATGATCTATAAACTCGTTTTCTATCCAACTCGTTTTAATTTGTACAAAATTAAATTGTTTAGGCTGATAACATCTTGTTGGCATAAATGTTTATGCTAATGTCGGAACCATTTGGAAGCTATGAATTCGTATTTGGAGCACTATGCATATATTAATGGTTATTTAATTTGATATATTATAATTTTTAATGGGGCTTTAAAGCAGTATGGTTTTCTTAGAAATTTTTAATATTATTTTACTGTAACCCAACTAATTTGTTGTATAACTGAAGTGCTAAAATAATGGTGACCATCTGTACCTTAGGACCATCATGTGACTATTAACTGGATTTCGGGTTTTTGTCACATGTGGATTGTTTGCCAACTTCATATAATTAAGGCTCAATTAACGGTTGAATATTATTTTGGGGAACTTTCTGTAAATCGCCGAGAATCAGAGACTAGAGGCGATGACGCCTCGCTTAATTACGCATTGTATTTTAATTTCGAATGAGGCTTAACTGCTTAACTGGTTTGCTGCAATTAAATATAAAAAAAAAAATACAACAAAAATTATGAAAGAAATGAAACTTAAGTCCCGATTGTAACATACCCTCTACTTAAAGAACTTTTCAAGCCGGGGTTTAAAAAAATAAACGTATAAGTAATGGAAACTTTTGTAAAAAAAGTTGGAAATTAATTATTATTATATATGTAGGTGTATTATTATTGTTTTTATTAATATTGTTTATGTAGCTCATTTATTTACCCTTGAAATCTTACAACCATGTTTGGAAGCTCCCAAAAAAATTTTGTAAAAATGTATAAAATTGAACATTATTTTGAATTTAATCCACTGCTCCATAAAATGCATTTCAGAGATTAGAAAAACACTGATACATTATTAACTCCATCCTGAGACTTATCACATTTTTTATAGAAACCAAAACAAAACTCACAATCTCCTCGTGCAGGGCATCCTGTGGCTGCATTTGGTGTCGCAGACGCAGTGCCTCCAGGTCCAAGGCATTGATGCCCGATGGCATGGATATGGAGTTCCGTCGGAGTCCCGGGGCAAAGGCCTCCGGCGAGGGAGTCGGCGTCTCCGCCTCTGGTTCTATTTCCTTTTCATTGACCACCTTCAAAAGGGGCAGCTCCACATTGCGTCGCTCGCTGAGGGATTGCTTCCTGGGCATGGAACCCAAGAGCTGGCGCTGCTCCAGCTTTGCCAATATCTCGTCATCCCGCTCATCCTCATCCGTGTCCGCGTCCGCGAAGGCCAATTCCGGATGCTGACCGTTCAGCGCCTGCGCGGCTCCCGATTGCGAGGAGTGGGCCATTTCTCCGGCCGCTTCTGTTTATCTTTTTTTTTTCAGCGGCTGCGTTCCAAACGCGATCGCGTTCCACTGGCGAATGAAAAGGGTTGAGCGCCAACCGGAACCCCAAATCGCCGGCAGAGCGAAAGAGAGCGATGGAGAGGGCGAGAGAGGGACAGGGAGAGGAAGAGGCAGAGGGAGTGAGCGGAATACGCGGGCGGATTCGATTGCCATCGCTATTTGCCTTTAATCAGCGCTTATCATCGACCAGCGATAATCGCACACCGACCAAAAAGAGGCAACAATGTACTATATTTAGTAATATTTTTAGAGGTAATAATTATAAGGTTTAAACATAGAGCTAAAACATAAGTTATATTATCAAAGGCTTTTTAATAACTGAGATGAGGTAGCTAAGATTTTTCCGTAAAAATTTTCATACATACATATAGTATGTAGGTAAAGTATCGAAATAATTGTGAAAAATGTAGAATGTTAGTAGTACATTACACAATTGGTTTCGAAAGAATTAGAAAAAATATCGTATACTTACGAAATCGAAAATATAATATATTATATTATACATATTATGTATAGGTTGACTATAATTGTCACAATTATTTAAAAAAAATTCCAACTATCTTTTCTCAGTTATTAAAACAAGTCTTTGGATTATTTAGTTTTTCTAGAACCTCAGTTTTGAAACAAGAAATAAGTATACAAAATGGTATTTTAACAATTTTCCAAATTCTTTGATTTCAAATCTGATTTTTCAGTGTATGTATTTTTAATCGTAGTGCACTGGTTACGCAGATATAGCTGATCCGCCCCCCAACTCCCCCCTCGGGGACACCTTTTCGCAACTGCTGTTTGAACTCGACGACTGTGTTGTCCTATTGATTCAGTTAATTAAATTCGCTTTCTTAACCATAAGCCCATTTCGTGGATCGCATTTGTTTGCCCAGCTAATTAGGCGGTAATCTCTCGCTCTCTCCCGCAAAATTCTCGACCTTGTTTCAGCAATAAGCGTAAACGAAATATAAAAAAAAAATCAAACACTAAAATTAATCAACTGACAAAGTCAAGAGCCAAACTCGTTCGTCGGCCGATCCGATCGATTGAATCGAGCGGCGGCAACGAGCGGTTTTTAATAATTACATGTGTTACCTGATAAGGTAAACAAAACCAACCCACTCACCCACATCCATACACCCCCGCCCCCTTTCCCATAGGCACATCCCCTGCTCGGAATAATAATCTCACGGGGCCCGGAATGGTACAACTAATTCGCAATATTGTTTAACAAATTACACTCATAAATTCTCTCGAAGTGGGCAAATATTTGACGATTGAGCTATATTTATGATCAACGCAACAAAAAAGGGAAGAAGAGGAGATGGCAGAGGTACTGGAATATCTGGAAAAGTTAACGCTTCCGGTAAAATATCAGGAAATGTGAAGTTTTCATTTTAAGTATCATATATCAAACATTATTTAATACTATACATTTTTTGAATTTTTTTTATCTGTGTACTAATTTTTATTTCACTAATATATTAAAAATTAAAGAAACAGCCTTAAATTAATATTTATAATATTTGTTTTTGTTTTCTTTTTATTATCAGAGGTGTTTATTATTTTTTGAATTGAAATTTAATTTTTAAAAATCTATGCTATGTTTAATAGCCAATGAGCACTGTACCCAAACAACGTACGTAAACAATCAGACAGAATCACATATTCGAGCCGGTAATAAAACGATTTAGTGAAACAAAAAAACCGGCATAACCATTCAGCTTTTACAGCTCCTGATAAAAGCCACTACAGTCGGGTTAAAAATAAGTACCCAATGGGTCAAATCTTTCAGAGAAATGTATGCTTTCTTTAAGGGTCTCTCGTAGTTTGGGGTAACTTCTCTGAAAAATTCAAAAAATTTACATTTTGATATAGAAGCCAAAAAAAAATGTATGGAAAAAATGCATAACGTGAGACTCGTTTAACTAATTTGGATGCAACTTTCACATAAAAATCAATAGGACCAAATATATATTTAATATAAGAATATTTAATAAACAATTTTAACATTTTTTTACGAAAAGCGTCTTTAAATTTAACCTCTAAAAGAGAGCGTTGAATTTAAAAATTAACTTTTAAAAGATGGGCTCCCTAATGCAATAAAATATATTTGAATTATAATATTTATCTTTTATTAAGAGGTTTCATTGTTTCACGTGAAAAGGCACTAGGCTAACACTCTACCAACAGATGTAAGCGAATTGCAAAAATCCACTTCGATTGCGAATTAATAAACACTTATTCGCCTCGTTATAATGCCATGAAGCGATGCCCGAGTTGAGAATTATTGAAACCAGATAATTGAAATGCAGCTCGCGATTCAAAGTCACCATCAAAGTTGGTCAACTCTCGAAAAGTGTGCGAATATTTTCAATAAGTTTGAATTATTTTTATATTTGGCACTTACAGCCTTTACGGTGAATTTTCGATGATTTCATTGGTTTTTTGCCACAATTTCTTAGGTAGATTTGTAGATATATTTATGTAATCTGTAAAAAAGAACCAGCCAAATACAAACCAGGATCTGCCATAAGCCATCAATTAAATCCTAGAAAATGTTTGCTATTCTTCTGCAGACTATGTAAAATTAAGTTCTTTAAATTAAGTTATGAAAAAGTATTTAATTACTTTTTGTTTAATCAAAATAATCTTAGATTTTACATAGTCTTTTTACTATCGATTTGAAACACCGCCGCCGCACAAGATATTCTTTAAGTAATTTTGAAAAGGGGAAAAATGCAATTTGTTTTTATTATTTTTGTTTTCAATAAATTTGTTAAATTTGTTCATTTAGTTTAGTTGTACACTTAAACATTTGATGAATTTTCCAGTTCTTATACGCTTTTATTTTTATTTGTATTTTTAATTTGTCGTTTTGCTTATTTGTTGCCGCGTTTTGGTTGCCGTATTAAATGTGTAAGAAAACATCGATAATTATTTTCGTATTTATTTTTGGGAATGTATCTTTTTGTTAGCGTATATATTTTTTCGATATACTTCGCTTCTAGCTGTCATCGCGGTCCCCGAGACGCCCAACATCTTTTTTCGTTTTGCTCAACAGTCACGTGACACAGAAACGGAAACAATAATCAATAAATAAATAACGACAGAGCGGAGTTAGTTGTATAGTATTATTAATTATTATATGGAATACACACAAATCTAAAGTAAGCGCTTGCTACATGTAAATGGCCAAAAAGAGACAAACAAAAAAAAAGGCTAAATAAGAGTAAACATAATTTTAAATTCACATTATCGTAGAACTATATAACTAAACATAATAAATACATTACGTAGACTACGCACATTGAGAGATTAACAAATCCAATACAGATACGAAAGAGATATGGAATCCATTAAATAATATAATCGTAATAAAATTAATTGTAATAATTGTGTAAATTGTAAATATCACAAGCAGACGTCACTTGCATCGTTGATAAATGTATGCCTATATGCCATTCTATAAGTATGCGGGTGTGTAATTATGTTCTGCCTTAATTCGTGTGAAAATGTTTGTGGTTTTTTTGTGATTTTTGTGGGTTTTTCGACGTGAAAGAAAGCTCGGTTTTCCACCGCCATTTTTGCTATTTGTGTTATGTCGCTCTATCTCTCTCTCTTTCTTTTGCCCGCCTGCCGTCTCTGTCTAGGTTAATTTTTGAGTTCGGTTTTGAGTTTTGCTGAGTTTTGAGTCTCGTTTTCGCATTTGTTCAATAACTATTAACGTTACCTTAAATTTAACTAACAATTTCTATAGAAAGTTTTCTGTTTTTCGTTTTCGAATGAGTACAATATTTTCAACATTTCATCGCTTTAGTTTTTAGTTATCTGTTAAGTTTATATTGTTTCGTTTAGCATTTGCATTTGCTTGTTGCCAACCCGCTTTTCTATTTCGTTCACTCTTGGCTGACTTTCTGATTCTGATTTCGGTTGCGTTCAGTTGAGTTTGTTTCTAGGCCTTCCTACGTAGTACGTACATACAAATAAATAAATGATCAATGCTTCTCGATGTGTTTGCTAAACATTTATGTATATGTATATATATATGATGTATGTATATTTGTGTATAATTAAAATTGACTTTTTACAATTTACTCTTCATAGATTTTTCCTTTTAGCCGCTGCCTTTTTCCTATGAGCAAAATATACAAACAAAAACGGAACAAAGGGTATTTGGAGAATTATGAATTAAATATTACGCTGAGGTTGGCTTAAATATATTCTTCTATATATTTTTTCCTTTTTCTTTATAATGTATGCGTGTCTGTGAGTTATGTGTATATATATATATATTTATAATTTTATATATATATATATATATTGTATAATGAGAATCGTCGGTTCTGCTTGATCTAAATTGGTGCCTGTGTTTTTGCTCTATGTGCTAAGTGCCGAAAACATTTGAAACATTTTTGTTGCTGCTGTTAACATTTTCCAACTCCAACTCCATCCCATCCGCATCCCAAATTGGAGCGCCGAGAGCCAAGGCGATTGCAATTGCTTGTCAATGTACAAATTATATAAATGTAATATATATATATCAGTGCCAAATATACTTTACAATATATATGGGTGAGGCTTTAGACTTTGGGTGCAGCAGTGGGCAAGAGCACGAATCTGAGTCCACAGATTCCGGAGCCCTCGAACTGAGCTGCCGGATTATGGCAAGCTAACCGAAGGAGGTGTGGATGTGGTGTGGGTTTAGAAGCGGAGAGGTCAACGAATGGTTCACCCGCCGACCCACTAACGAACAATGTGCAATGCCTCGGCCCGCCTGGTGATGTTCGGTATGGTACTGGGTTGTTTTATCTGTGCTTCCTGCCGTCGACGCCGCCTTTGCTGCTCCTTCTCCTGCTCCACTGGCTCCCTCTGCTCCTCCTTCTCCCTCTGCAGCGCCTTTCGCCTTCCCTAGTCGCCGCTGTCGTCCCATTTTCGCTCCTCCATGATGCGATCAAAGCAGTCCGCAAGGAATGCATGCTGCAGGATGGAAGACAATATTAATTAAATGCATTTCATTTGGGTGTGTGGCATGGATTTGTGGTTTATATAGTGCGCAGCTGACCTCTTCACTAATCAACAACCCTGCAATTAGATAAAGCCACATTTGTCTATGGAATGTGACTGTGTGTTCGATGCCACATAAAATTAATTATCTGCATTTGTAATTAACCCAAAATACTCATTGTCTAATTGTATTTATGTGGCTAAGACGTTTTGATTTGCTTATTTTGAAGGCAATTAGATTTTATGTTAATAAGAAATACTTTTAGAGAAGGTCTGGGCTTATTGTTAATAATCATTAAAGCCACAATAATCTTATTTTAAAACAATTAGCTTTCATATTAATAAGAAATACTTTTAGAAAAGGTCTCGGCCTATAAATATAAATAAATAACCTTTAAAGCCACGAAAAAGGGTTTAAATCTAGAGTCAAGCTGCGCACTATATTCGAGTTTTTAACGATCCGACATACATATGGCGTGTAGACTTTAACCCAACGCGCTGGCTTATCTGGACGATTGTACTGAAAGCAGAATGACATGGACTCCTCGTCGCTCTCGGAGCGCGTGATGCTATCCCAGGTCAGCTCGACCATTTGCGCCTCCAGCGAGCCATCCTCACGGCAGGCGTGCAGCCGAAAGCTCTTCATGCCTGTCAAGAAATCAGAGTTATTAAGAGTGAAGGCTGTAATTAATTAAACGGGGCAACGAAAACCACTTAAAAAGGCATTTTTAAATTTCGGTCCTAAATCCCTAGGCTCACAAAAGAGTTTATAAAATCGTATAGTCGATTTCTGGCATTCCAAAGACCACAATCATCAATTTTTATGTGTTTTCGAGCCTTATCTTGAATAGTTTTATGAACATAAATACATTAGGGAGAGAAATGGCCTGTTAACTTTAAGGAACAAATTTTCAATAATTGTTGCCTTATCTCGAATATTTATTATACGAATTTATGGGCGTTTCAAGGTTATGAAATTTAATTCAATTATTTCATATGAAATGGAGCCTTATCTTGAATATTTTTCATAAGAATTTTTTACAGATTTGTTGAGTCTTTAAATTTGGTGAACAAATTTTTAATATCGAATATTTATTTTACGAATTTATAGACGTTTCAAGGTTGTGCAATTTAATTTAGTTATTTTATATGAAATGGAGCCTTATCTTGAATATTTTTCATAATAATTTATTACAAATTTGTTGAGCATCAAAATTAGCCTGTTAAATTTAAGGAACGAATTTTCAATAGATATCTCGATTATTTATTATGCGAATAAATGAGCGTTTCAAGGTTGTGAAAATTAATTTAAATTCACTATGAAATTGAGCCTTATCTTATTTTTCATAAGAATTTATTACAGATTTGTTGAGCCCTTTAAATTTAATTTTAATTTATATCTCGAATATTTATTATACGAATTAATGGACGTTTCAAGGCTGTGAAATTAAATTTAAATTCACTATGAAATGGAGCCTTATCTTCAATATTTTTCATAAGAATTTATTACAGATTTGTTGAGCCTTTAAATTTAATTTTAATTTATATCTTGAATATTTATTTTACGAATTTATGGGCGATTCTAGGTTGTGAAATTTAATTTAAATTCCCTATAAAATGGAGCCCAATCTTGAATATCTTTCATAAGAGTTTATTAAAAATTTGTTGAGCATTAAAATTAGCCTGTTAAATTTAAGGAACAAATTTTCAATAGATATCTCGAATTTATGGACGTTTTAATTAAATTCACTATAAAAGGAGCCTTATCTTGAATATTTTTCATACGAATTTTTTAAAAATATGTGTAGCCTTTCAAAATGGTTTCGATTAAACAATAAAGTCCAGAAATCACTCACCCACGGCGGGCACCACGTGTCCCTCCTTGCGACTATCACAGGAGCAGTGGGGGAAGACAACGTCCCCGTATCCTGGCAGTGTGCGGGCCAAAGCCAGATAGTCGCCGGCCTTCTTGGCGTCCTGCAGCGCCTTCAGCTCGTACAGGCGGCCATCGGCCCGGATGTTGCCGCGATTCACCTCGTCGACCGCCTGATAGAAGACAAACCGGCCAGCCTGTTCGCCGTCCGGCAGCGTCAGCTCCTTGGCCACCGAGAAGAGCCAGCGGCGGACGCACAGGCAGGTGGACGAGGCGGTACTGTAGTTCTGCACGTACAACTGATGCGGAATCTCGTGCGGCTGCAGCTTCCGCTCGAAGTTGTACTCGACTATTTCGAACAGGTAGAAATACTGCTGCGTGTAGGCGGTGAGATTGGCGCGCTGCACCAGAATCTCCCACACCACCTGGGCATTGGAGGACTTCTTCACCGACACGGTGCTCACCTCGTGATCGGGCAGCATCACCTTGATGTCCACCGGCGAGGCGGATATATCGTCCTCGGTGTCGGTGAGGAAATCCTGCACAGCATCGCTTTCGGCAATCACCCGCACCGCGCACACCTTCTCCAGATATTGCTCCAGACCGCGGCGCCGCGTGTCCAGCTGCTGTTCGCTCAGCTGGAAGGGCCATTTGCCGGGCAGCTTGGGGAAGTTGAAGCCGGAGAACTCCTTGCGCAGCAGCGAGTGCAGGTTGGCGAACTCCCGATAGCGACGCGAGCACAGCTGCCTGCCGGCCATGTGTATATTGAAGACGATGTACCGCTCGCCATTCCGGTTCACGATCCCATAGTCGGGTATGCTAAAAAATACAAAATTTAATTAAAATTATTAAATATTCTTCTGGGTTAATTTCCTGTGTGGCGGGGGAACTCACCTAATGGGCAGCGAGCGTTTGTCCGAGTAATCAATGTAGGAGTAGCCGCTCTGATCCTCCTGCGGCTCCAGTCGATCGGCCTCCTAAAAATAGATATAAAGAGATTCAAATGGAATTAATACATATTACAAATGGAAATATTTTTTACTATTTTTTGTATATCCACAGATATTTTATTAGTGTAAGAATAGAGACTTTATCGGAAAGTAGACAAAATATAAATATATTTGACAAGCATAAAAACCCTTCTTCCAAAGAATATTTGTATATTTATTTTAAGTAGATAAATATAGAATAAATCGAAAAGACAATATTCTTTAAATTATTTTTACGTTTTTTTAATACTTTTGTATTTTTTTAATAATTATAGTAAAAAATTCAGCATTAAAATATTTGTTTATTTTTATATAACCAAGATTAATATAGGTTTAAATGTAATTACTGTATATTTACTTTATAAATATTTTATTATGTTTTTAAATATCCTTTTATATTTTATTTTCAATAATTATAGTAAAATCATAGATTTCATCGTATTCCAAAGGATATATATCTATATTTTCACTCACCTGCTGTGTCACCGATATCACCGTCAGGGTTAGGCAGTCACCGCCGGATTTGATCAGATCCACGACCTGTTTGTGTGTGGCTCCCTCCACGCTGACGCCATTTCTGCAAGAGAATAGAGAGAAGCATTAAGATGTAATTCTTTACAAATTGATATTACATTATAATAGGATATAATAATATTAATATTGGATCTTTAGCTTAAACCAACCGAAGACAGCGTTTCTCCAAAGCTGTCAACTGGGCAAACTGAACGGAATGAAAAGGCAACATTTTGCCGGGAATTAAAAACCAAGAATGGAATCAATTCTGAACGATCGTCGCAGGCGAATTAAAGGCGTTGCCATCGACCACAGATCAATTTAAGCGAAAATAATAACAGTGGGAGCCCGGCAGAGATAGCGTCGATAATGGATGCATTGACATCGGTGCAGCGTTGATAAGACGACGACTCTGGACTCGATTCGATTCGTTTTGATTCGGGTCAAGTTGGAACCACGTATCGTATCTATCTAGGATCGAAGCTCTCGACTGAACCTGAAGGTTGGACAGGCAGAGAAAAAGATAGGGAAAGCAAATTGAATTTAATAAACTCATTTTAGTAATACAATTAATGTTGGTACACCAACAAAAACAACTTTATATGAAACGATGATCGATTTGATATTATGTGGTATCAATTTTTACTAGATAATCTCGAAATGTAAGCATCATTTCGAATTTCGCAAGTGTGGTATCTCCCTCCCACTCATGTAACTTTAAGCACTATTGCGCTCTATTTCGAATTGAGAGAATAAATATAAATACCAGAAATATATCATGCTCATATCGACTTGATCCCGTTTTTTTTTTTATATATAGTCCAAGTCTCCTATTTAACTAAATTATAGAACAGAGTGGAGAAATATTCATTGCATTGCCCACAGAGAGTACAAGAAAATCAATTGAATTAAGTGGGTGCCTGGAGAATGAAATTGGAACGACAACAAGTAGCAAAAATGTTATTTACACGACCAAGAATCATATTAAGTGAAATCAAGTTGATAGCAATAAAAAGGGAACAACGAATGGCCTTTGATAAGCGCAAAGTATCCAACAGCCCACACCCACTTTCACATTCACATCCACAACACCCACATCCACATCCATTCATCGAGTTCCTCCACTTTGCCGGTGGAGTCTTTGTCGTCGTCTTTCCGGTTTGCAATTTGCCATCCGTGCCATCCGAGAGTAAGTAAAAAAGTAAAGTAAATAAAATACAAATAAATAAATAAATCGCCACAATGTGACGCACTGTGGAGGAACGCTTGAAAAGCTCCAGAGGGCCTTGCAGCGTGACTCACATGGCGACATGTCAGAAATCAGAAATCCAGGAATCAGAAATCCAGAAATCAGGCATACCATAATACTGGATGGATACCATCTCGTATAATGGCCGATAAAGTGGTTGTTTGGGGAAGTGGAGGAGGTGGCGATTCAGTGCAGGAGACAGGCGCAGACAGCTGAAAGCCTGAAACTGAATCTGAATCTGCAACTTAAGCCAAGACAAGACAAGACGAGACTCTACTCCACTCCGGAAACCTGTTTCCCAGCCAGCCACTCGGTAAAAATAGTTAAAAAAGCGAAAAACAAATACAGATACAAGGCAGCCAAGACAAAAGCTAAACAAAAACAACAGCAACCACAACAACATCGAGAGAGAAACACAAAGCTATCTATGCATTTATTTATAGGCGAATGCAAATGCCTTTCCCTCTTAATTGTGTCCGACAATATGCGGCGAATGTTTTCTTGTTTAACGAGAGAGACTATATCATTTTTCCCCGATTGTTGGAGTTTTAATTTGCGGCATTTGAGCTATCTTAAACTGCATATTTGCGGGTGTGAATAAAGCTAAAGTGTAGACGGGCGAAAAAAAGAGGAGGCCGAGAAAAGCTTGTAAATTGGCGCACAGTGGGACAAGTGGGGCGCTGCACAGTGGGGCGGCCACCCACAGAATGGGACATGTGAAACAACATCTGGGGGCGTTATTACTACCAGCTCCTGAGGGCATTCTCATATCGATTGATATTTACTTGGCCCACGAGAACATTTTTAATTGTTTCAACAGGGTGAAAAGCAAAGGGAAAAATAAATAAATCATTTCCAGTCATAATTAATTTGTAGCTAGGATTTTGAACTTGATGTTGTTCTTGAATATTTATGATTTAAATTAATTACATTTATTAACTTTTTTTTTCAACCTTTTTTAGGAGATTTTAAAAGTGAAATACAAATTACTAAAAAAAAAAAATGTAATATTGATATCAAGTATGTTTCTCCTTAAAAACATCGGAATTATCGAATCGAAAATCGAAAATATCGATAATTTTCCAGCTCTACTTTTTACAAGGTATCACGAAAGTTGATAGGCCAAAAAGCAACTGTCTTGGGCAAATACTAATGCGATTTCTATATTCATTTCGGTCAATGTTTATTCGCGATTTGTGTGCTTTCCTCCAGCACTAATTGGACATGGTAATGCGACTGTGCGGTGGCATATATAGTATGGGATATGGCAATATGGGGTATGGGCCATTTACGGGGAATGCAATTGTTTAAGCTGAGCAAATCGAATAAATATTTGCCAGACACGACGAACAAATAATAAAATCGAAGAAAATGTTTATACAAAGACTTTTAATAGTTGCGGCCGAGATGAAAATATAATTCGCACATATATAGGCTATATAGAGTGGATTTAAATATCTAAAAATATGCCGAGAAATGTGGAGAGCAAATACAATATATATCTGTATCTATCTGTAGGCGAATGAATATCCCAACCCATCCCCCTGGATTCGCAATCAGCGAACAAAGCTGGCTGCAGTCTGCAATCGATGTTTATATTTAATTTACCTTGGACATCACGTACTCTCGCTACTTGCAAGTGAAATGTAATTCCATTAACGGGAATGGAAATCGAAAATTAATTAAGCCCGAACAGGAATCCGTTGGAGGACTTGACATGAGTGCTTAACAAGTGTCCTTCCATTGCTTAATACTCGTTTTCTGTTTCTGTTTGATGTGTTTTTCTCCACCACTTCCCCCCTTAAATTGAACTCGAAATCGTTCCCGTCCCCCGTTTCCCTTTCCCATTTTTCCCCCGTCATGTTTATTTCTGGCTTAGTTTAGTCCGAATGAAACCGAAAAGTGAAACCTGAAAACATGAAAACCTGAAACCGCCACCGAACTCTAGGAAATGCGGAAATGTGGGCCAGCCAGAGCCAGGCATCCAAGCCGAAACAACAAAAATAACAACCAAAGCAACGACGACCACATCGACATCGCACTCCCCATCCCATCCAATCCAAGTCCATCCAGTGACGTAAATCTATTGATTATTGTCGGGGCATATGCCACAAACCAACAGCAACAACAACAACAATGGTAACAACATTGACACAGAACCAAACCGCAAACACAAATTCGTGGCAGCATAAAAAAAAACATGCAGGACGACTTGAAGGCAAAGGCCTCGATTAAACAATACCCAATATAAAATATTACATTTATTTTGGGAAATAAAAAAATGTCTTCTTTTTCAAAAAGACTTTGTTGTTATATCCTACGAATAATTCTTGAATTTCGGTTTTGTATTTAAGTTTCATATGTCAAACCGTATTCTCTGCACTTTCAACCTCCGGTAAAAAATTCTCCACTTTTATAGTTATAGTTAGATAAGTTTAAGAGGCTTGTGATTTATTTTTCTATTATTTTGCTTTATTTATAACTACTATTTATTCCCGAATTTTGGTTTTTGAGTTCAGATTTCTATGGCATACCATATTGTCTGCAGTTTAAACCTCTAGGAAAAAAATACTCCTATTTTATAGGTACACTTTAATAAGTCTTGTTTAACCCCCACACTCGTGGGTAGCACACAAGTTCAAATAAATTGTAAAAATGCAGTAACTCGAGCTCCTTCTAGGTGGATCAGTTCATATGGTTCGGCTACAAATCAGCTAATGACCCTTCAATAACTCAAGCCATATGCCACAAAAACATTCGACCAAGTTTGAGTTGGGAAATTGTCTGCCACTTGCGTGTTTAAAGGCTTCTTAACACTCAATTTAGTTTTTAGCCCGACAAGATGAACTTTAAATTGTTTGCTTAAACTTGTACATACGAAAAACGTATGTACTACGTAGTACGTACATATTTGCGAAGGGAAAATACCTTGGGAGTAATAGGATGAAAGCGCAGGAGTTGGAAAAAAAAGCGTACAGATAAAAGAGGGGGAAAAAAGTGAAGGAAATTTCCGGCTCAAGATGCAATTGTTCCTCTTGGTTTCAATCAAGTTTCTTTTTTTTTTTATTGTTTGCAATACCTGCAAAGTTGTTCTCGGTATTCTTTGGTTGGAATTTTTTCGTGTATCTTGATATACACTGGAAGAAATGCTGTACAGGTTGGTTATATCTTGTAAGTAGGTTTTTTTTTCTTTTTAACAAAATTTTATCTTTTTTTTAAATTTTTAATTTGTATAAATGTCACGTATTTTCCCCTACTTTCCAGTTTTATTTTATTGTTTAAATTTTTAAATGCGATTTTTTGCGTTGGCAGGGCTGTTGTAGATTTTTTTAACGACTAAAGCTAAGAAGGCGAAACGAAAGGCAAGCTGAAAATAGTTAATAATCCCCATTGATCGAATCCCACAACCTTAGAACCACCCCACCACCCACGACCTCTCCAACCTCCCAGTCGCAAGTACAATGCCGAGTGCACTGAGAGATGGCCAAGTGCAAGGCGACGTGCACAAAAGATTCAGTTGGAATATACATATGTGGGGGGGGCTCGGTCCTTGGGGTCCTCAATTATGTCATGTATCCCAGAGTATCCGTTCAGTGTCCTGTTTTCATCGAGCGATGTCTCAAAAGGCCGCTCTGAAAGGGTTCGGCTAGTCATCAAACCCTCTTCACGATTAATCCTGAACCCAACGAGGGTCAACGAACCCTCGTTCTTGAACAATGGGACGACAATCAAATACTTGACAAATGCAAGTTCACTTTTGAAGTGCACATATTTGGTTGTCCCATTAAATCAGCCGAAAAGTTCAACAACTTAGTCGAAAACTAAGTAACTGCCTAAGCGACCTAAGTAATTGATGGCCCATTTTCTCGTTGGAATGAATTACGCTTCATGTATGAGTTAATTCAGTCAACAACACAACGAAGTTCTCAACGTAGCATACACAAATTGTCCAAGGAATTTATTTATTCAATTTAAATGGACAACAAAGCATTGCAAAGTGGGGGTGTGAAACTTTCTCCGCTGCAATGTGGGTTAAATTCTCAGGCAAATTGTGTGTTTTCTTTTGCCAAAGTTTATTATTTTTAATTGCCCAATGTGTGTAAAGTGAGGGCAAAAATCAACATTAAATTGATTAGATTACATTTCAAGTTTATTCCGCACCATCAAAGGCAATTAAATTGGACAACAAACAGCTGCTGAATGATGTGAATGAACACTTGGGCAAACGATTAAAGGGACGTATTAATTATAATCACTAAACTGATTGATAAAGTGATCAAATGTATCTCATAATAATTATATTTAATTTTTAATGTAAAGGACCTTTAAAAAAAATACGACATCTTTACAGATTTTGTAAAAGTGTAGATGTCACTTTGTATTGCTTATTTATACCTATCGAAATGTAAAAAAAAATTTTAAAATCGGACCATTCATTAAAAAGTTATGAACAAATAATGCAAGTAATAATTTTCCCACAGATGGCGCCACTTTCAAGCGACTGCTTGCATTGCTGCCTGCATATCTCAATCTCAATATAACGTTCTCTCTTGTATCTCTTTATAATCTAGTTCATTTTCTTTGGGTTTCTAAATTTCCAGAGCCAGTCAGCACTCGAGGAGTGCAATCTTCAGCCCATTTTGGGAGCCACAAAGAAATACCCAATTCGAAAACTTATCCGGACCAATCAGTGCGAACTTGGAACCACCACTTGAGATTCAAATGGCTAATCTAATCGTAGTCCGCAGCCTGCATTATACCACTGGCAACTAGTTCTTTGTCCGCGACAGTTTGTCCGCAACAGTTTGTCCGGCAATTTGAAACCGTTTAGAACGATGGCCGGGAAGCGACGAGACCGAGACCAACTGCCATTCCTTGTGGTTTGTGGCCTACTCATCCTGGGTCTGGCCATTGTCGACTCCCTGGAATGCTATGCCTGCGATTCGGCCGAGGATTCGGAATGCGCCACCCGACCCGGACAGCAGCTGGAGGTGGAGGAGTGTTCCCAGGCCAGCGACGAGTGCGTCACCTCCATATCGGCGGGTCTCACACGACGCGGCTGCCTGGCGCGACTCTATCCCAATGGCTATTGTGCCGCTCCGTGCGACCGATGCAATACGAGCCTGTGCAATCGGCACGTTTATCCCACGGATCGCTTGCGCTGCTATCAGTGCAGCGGATCGGACTGCATCGATGTGACCACTCGACCGCAGTACCTGTTGCCCTGTCCGATTTATCGGGAGGATGATCGCTGCTACACGAACGTAGTCCACTTGTCCAATACCCAGCGCGGCTGTGAGCACACCAATCTACCGACCACCTGTCCGCATGTCTGCTTGAAGTGCAACTACAATGGCTGCAATGTGGAGAAGACAGTCACGGAATCGCGTTGTCTTCAGTGCACCCACAATCGATTGGCTCCGAATCCCGATTGCCTGAGGGATCAGGTGGACAGGGAGGAGGAGGAGCAGCCAAAGTGCTCGCTGGACAACACAACTGTCACACACTGCGTTAACAAGGTGATGTACGGACATCGGGAGAACTGCTACAGCTATCGGAACACCCAAACGGAGGTCCTCCAGCGGGGCTGCTCCACCACAATGGGTTTCTATCCCACCGGCGAGCTGAGCGAATGCCACGGTGAATTCTGCAATGCCAACTGCCAGGATATTGTCTGTGCCGCCTGCAATTCCACCGCGGATCCAAATTGTCGCGGGGGCCGGAATTTGCCAACGGAAAAGTGCGCAGCTGGCACCACGGCCTGCTATTCCTGCGAGCAAGGTTAGGGTGAGTGGGTGGAAAGAAAGACCCCACTGAAACGATAAATAAAATTCCAAACAAAAAGCATCGCTTTAAAGAGTTTTAGTCAGGTGGAAACCAAAATCTGAGTCATTTTTGCAGTTAATATCATCAATTTGGGAGTTATTTTTTGGTAATCTTAGCATTTGAGAAAAAAAAAAAAATATATTAAACTATTTTGTAAAGTAAAATAATAAAATAGTTAGAATCATTAATTTGGGATTTCTTTGGCAATTCTAACATTTGGCCAAAAAAAAAAAATTTTAATATTGAACTATTTATTACTATAAAATAGACACCCAAAAAAATGGCAAGTTGAACAGACAGCAAAAACGGTTGGGCAAAGAAATCTAAAATAAGAACCGAAATTCGGAAATAATGTTCAAAACAATTTTAATATCTAAAAATTTAATTTTTTTTCAATTTGTACTTTTGAAAAGTTCTTAATTTACCAGAAATTACTTTATTCCCAAGGCTAACAAATAAAATCTACAACATTCTAGATCCCATATAACGATTCCCCGTTTTTTCCAGATACCTTCCTGCGACGTGGCTGTGCGGATGCCAATTTTGCACCTGCTGCCCTGGGCGACAGTTGCCAGTTGTGTCGTGATGCGGACTCGTGCAATCGCTACTCCGTCCGGAGTTGCTATCGCTGCAATGCCCAGGATCAGGACACGGACTGTGCGGCCATGGACCTGCCCTCGGCGATGACCACCAGTAATTGCTCCAGTCCCACGGAGCTGTGCGTCAGCACGGTGGTCAGTCGGCTGGACGGAATCTATACGGTGCGAGGATGCGAGGGCGAAGTGCCGGAGTGCTCTGCCAACGATCCGTACTGCGTTCGGTGCAACGGAAGTCGGTGCAACGATGCACCAACTCTCTGGCGGCAGACGCAACTCGATTTGGCCACGGATGTGGATAAATTGCCGGATAACTGGTGGTCACTACTGCAGTACTGGTGGTCCAGAAAACTCCGATAATAATCGTCGTAAAATATTATAATAAATATTATAATAAATACTGTACTGATAACTGTTTCGTGGGGCGTGGCAAAGGGGCGGATGTACACGTTTATTGGGTGTAACGCCCCCCAACACAATTACTCTGATAACCAAGCGAACTATTGATCTTTTCATTTATCGATTCTATAAACAAGGAGACTACATTTTTTCGCTTCAAGGTAGCTTATATAGAGGAATCTTACCGAAATTTTGAAATCACTTTTAAAGGCGTCTAAAAGTATGCTTTAATATATTTTAACCCAAAGATGGTGTGGATTTGTAACTAAGGCTTTACCTATTGTAATACTTTGTATCTTATATGTATATTTAAATAGGATTCTTGATTAAAACTTTATAAAGAAGCCATAGATCACATATGTAGGTACCAACATTTCTTAAACTTTCCTTATATATATATATATATATATATATATATATAAATATATATATATAAATATATATATATATATATATATATATATATAAATATATATATATATAAATATATATATATATATATATATATATATATATTCATAATGCTAGTCAAATTTTAGCAAATTTGTATGTATTTTATTATCCAGTAAAGTAAAGAAAAGAAATAAATTAACGGGATTTAAGCGCTGGGTTCCAGTTGAAAACTGGTTCGCAAAAGGCGGAAACCAAATGCAAATTTGTTTGCTTTTGCTTTCTGCTTTTTGCTTGCCCTCTGCAGTTTGTGCTTTTTTGTTGCTTTTGCTTTGCTTCTGCTTTTGTTAGCTCACGCGCAGCCGAATTATGTCGTTGTTGTTGTTGTTGTTGTTATTTTCGCTGATAATGAAATGATGGGCACTGCAAATAGCAACAACAACCACAACAAGCCGCATAATAGACAAGCACGCCCCCCGCCACCGCCCCCTTTTGCACGTCACACATTCTGTTTGCAGTTCGGGGAAAAGTGTGGAAAATTTGCGAGTTTTTCGTTGCCGTCGAGCGAAGGTGACGATGATAATTAAGTTGTTGCTGGTCGTCGAGCGACGAAACTTTAGCAAAATTTATTAATTGAATTTCATCCCGAAACGAGTAGATAGATAGTGGGTACTGTAAGCCAGAAAGAGAGAGCGAAACCGCACCCACGTTGAAAATGGAATGAAACTACAAGAGTAACGAAATACAGGGAGTACTTTTTTCAGTAATTTATTCATATAATATAAATAATTAATAATATGTTAAACCAAAGATCCCTTTTTAAAAAAATATTACGATCTATAAAAATATTAAAAGTTACACTGGTTCACTGCGTCGAGTGTTTACTGTAGATGAGTAACGAAATAAAATAAAATGATTGATGGACGGGGACAGCCTTGAAAGTGAAGAAAGGGAAATACGGAGAGAGAGAGGGGGAGGAGGAAAGAGAGAGAGGATGTCCACTGATAACGGGTATCGAAACTAAAATGTCAAAGATGCTAAACAAAAGCTTTTCTAGACAGAGACAGAAAATACTAGCTGAGTGAAAGAAACAATGCAAAATGAAAAAAAAAATAAAATACAAGTGAGCATTTTAATTAGCCTGCATGCGATGGTGTTGGTATGAGTACCTCTTTTGTGGGTGTGTGTGTCATAATATTATGCCATTCAAGAAAACATAACAGCAAAAAAAGAGTGAAGAGAAGAGAGAGGAGAAACTAGGGTTTCAAGTGGGGGAAATTAAATTAGTTATAAAATAATAACCATATGCTTTGTATCAAAAACGAAACCATTTAACAACTCTTTTGGCCATTGATAAATTTCCCTTCTTATCAACATTCCACTGACTCATGTTTCTCCATCGTCGTACTTCCTCATTCCAGTTTCATTTTAACAGGAATTCCTAGAAATCGTCGAATGCCCGATATCTTTTTTCCAGTTGGTATGACATATGACTATATAGGTAAATAACTTGACTTAATCTTATCCTACAAAGAAACTTAGCTAATTTGTATGGGTTATTAGCATTTAAAACGATAGTTATATGAGAAAAAAGTACGAGTATCGTATGAAGACCGGTTTTTGTTTAAATTTATATCCAATAATCCCCATAAAAATAATACTTGTTCAAGTGCTTCACCTTTTTAAAAACTTTTGAGAGCAACCCTCAAAAATGGTTGGATAAATTCAGCAGAACAACAACAGAAGCAACAACCACCTCACCCACCCAAAAAAAACAGCAACATACTGAACACACACACAGTGAAAAGTGTTTATTGATATTCCCGGGCATTTTTGACCCACTACAACTTCACTTCCAACTCCCTCAAAACGTCCCCCTTTGCCACCCAAATAAAGTGGGCGGGGTCAGAGGTTGGACATGCAAGCCCTTCGTGGGGGTTAACTTCACTTACTTAACCCCTGGGCACCCCAAAAACGCCAACACCCTGAGCCCTGCGCTTAAAGAGCTTATTCTTCAGATTGCTCTTTGAATTTTGACAAACTTTTTGCAAGTTTTTTCATTGGCACCAGGGGTTCTGTACTAAAAACTATGCCTAATATGAGCTATAATTTGATAAAGAAAACTATTAAACTAACTTAAAACAAGGAGGCCAACATGTTATAGCATCAAGCAAATATTGCACATTTTCCTAATTGGTCATTTGCAATAACTAGGTAACGAATGAACTTGAAGTTTCAAGGGATCAAGTGAATATTATTTATTTATTTAATGTATGGTAAATTTTTTTAACTAAGGAATATGAAACTTTGCCACAAGTTGTTTTAAGGAGTTTTAGATCGGCTCTACTAACTGGGATTTCGAAATTCCGACATTAAGAGCCCCAAAATTCCCCTTTTTATTCTATAATAATAATAATATTGTATAGATTGTACTTACACCTCCAGAATGCGATCGCCCTTTTTGATGCCCGCCTTCTCGGCTGCTCCATTTTCAAGGACGGCGCTCACGTGCTGAAGGGGGGCGTACAGCTCGCCGTTGATCGAGCGCAGCTGACCCCCCTCGGAAACTTGACCGCGCACATTGAATCCGAATCCCGTTTCCGTTTTGTAAATGGTGACGACACGGGGTCCGTTTGCTGTGGTTACGCCTACGCCTACGCCCATGACGCCCCCTCCTGCCGATGATGCGGACACCACCACTGTGCTGGCGGGGGTTGGGGGTGGGAGGGGGTGGTTCTCGCCAACGATGCTCATTGCGCCGGTCGTTCTTTCTCGCTCGCACTCGCACTCGCACTGGTTCTTCACTCTTCTGCTGCTGCTTCTGCTTCTCCTTCTCCGTCACCTACTCCCTCGCCCCTCTCCTTCGCCACCTTCGTCTTTGTTGTTTGCACAATATCTTTTGTTGTGTTGCGGTTATTTTTCTCTATTTTGCGTAATGTTTTCTGCAACTTCTTTTCGGCACACACCAGCACACACGAGACACACACACACACGCGTATAGAGACCGCCACTCCACTTTTACTTTTACTTCCTCCCCTCCTCTTGGCTCCACCTCCGCTCCACCGAAACTCCTCTTCCTCTTGCGCTCTCCTCGGCTTCGCTGCCTCACCTCACCGCACACACACGCACGCACACACCGAAAAAAATATGTAATTTTGTGTGTTTTTACTTTATTTAACACGTTTCGCGCTGCGCATTTTGTTGCTAGCTTCGCATTCGCTTCTAGCCGTTTTTGCTTTTGGTTTTAGTTTAGTTAGTGGTGCAAAGGTACATCGACGCAGCGGGAATCGATGTTTCGATTGGCGATACTAATCGATGCCGGTATCGATGCTAGGCGATGCATCGATGCTTTGCAAAACATCGGCTCTGGAATTTAAACTTTTTAAAACACAACCGGAAATAGCAAAGAAGTAGAAAAATTTGTTTTACCGTTAATGAAATGGCCAAACTAAATAATTGGCAAGAGAAATGTGTTGTTTTTTTGCCGTTATCAAATTGCCATACTTGACTTACCTTTAAGAAATAATGGTGACTTGGAAATACGGAAAGTGATTGGAATACGTTTTAATAGACAAACTATTTAGTTTAGTAATGTTCCATGCTTTCCGATAATTTTTTAAATATTATAGTCCCTAAAGTACATAATCGCACATCTCTGATCAGCTGATCTGCCATCGATCCTATCGATAGCTTTCTAGTTGTCCAACACTGTTATCGCCAACCGGAAGTGTGACGAACGCAACTGTGAGTACACCGAAAGCGAGCAGAGTAGTAACGAATAAAATTCAAATAAAATGGAATTTATAAAATGCGATTAATTACTAAATAATCAGAGCTAAAGTGCTATCCTATTTGTATTTTAAAATACTTGAAGCTCTGCTTTGGGATTAACGGTACTTTTAAAGTAAATCAATTAAAACTTTCAGCGAGCACAAATTCCGTTTATCATAAGAAGTACCTCGTTAAATTTTAATTAAATGCGTAAAAAACAAACAAAAATAAACTCAAGGAGATTATTTTATATTTTAAAACAAATCCAGCCAAAGCTAATTTTTCAAGCGTTATCTTATCGATTTAAACGCCTATTGGAAAAATCCTTATAACTAAACCCCATTTTCCAAAATCCTCAAAATAAAATGTTTAAAAATATAATATAATGAAAAACGAGGGTTTTGGAGGCGTGACTGCGACCATAGAAGGGATCATTCATACATGGGGCATGGTCGCTGACGCTGTTGGACAAGGATGGGGATGCTGAAAAATGGATGTGTCATATATATTTTTGAGATCTCAAAAACCATAGATATTTCGGCCCCCAAACACATGATATTGAATGCAATGCTCCTCTTTTTATTTTCGTTTGATTTCGTATTGTTTTCGGTTTGTTTTACTGCTGTTTTGATGTTTCTGTTGTTGATGTCTTATGAAATTTGTTAGATACGCACACTCTAGATTGTACATAATTATTTAATCCTGAAGCAGTACTAAAATCACTGCCCACCGCCTAACTACTAGTAAACGTTTCATCTTTTTTTTATTTTCTGCTGTTGTTATTACTCAATTACTCACAGGTCATGCATACAAACATACACGTAAAAAAATAGTGCAAAAATGTATTACTTTTTTCTTGTTTTTATATATATGTATAACAAACGGTACGTTTTTTTTTTTTGCTTATCGTTTTGTCTGCCTTTCAAATAATTATTGTGTGTTTAGGCTATGCTCACATTACAATTTGTATAGATATTAAATAAAGTATACAATAAATAAGAGCAAAAAAAAAAAAATAATGAGGATTGAAGGAAACCGAAGAAACATAATAATACGGTTATTTTAGATAATGAAACGCTGACCCGATTTAGGCAATAAATACATATACTATATATTTATATATATATGTGTGTGTGTAGTGCTTTTCTTTTTTACGTTCTCTATTCGTTTTGGCTAAAATCAAAGCGAAGTGTGTGTGTTATTGAAACAGGCCCAACAAAAATTGGCTAAAACGTGTGAGGCTCAATAAGCTCAAGCTTTTCCTAAACTTTCTCTTCGTTTTTTTTTTATACACATACAATATACACTTAATTTGATAAAAGTCTAATTAAAATAATTCCTAGGTTCTTAGAAGTACAAGAGAAAAATATATTTATATATGTATGTATAAGTATTACTAGGTATTACTAGGTAAAAAAAAAAATACAACTTAAACGGCTGCTACAAAAATCTATTTTTTTCTTTTTGTTTTTTTTTAAGTTTTATCATTAACTAACGTCTAGCTTAAGTATTTATATATATTTAGTAATTACATGTATCTTGCCTGCTGCTACAAAAACTCCTAAACTCTTTTCTTTTTTTTTAAATACTAAGAAATCGTCCCGCAAAAATGTGGTGTTTTCTCTGCTTTAGAATTGTTGCTGCATTTTGTTGATTTTGCTGGTTGTTGCTTGGTATGCGATATAGTGGCTATATCCCCGTGGCGTTGATCCTGGCTGTCCTGGCATTTATTTACAGTATATTGGAAATTGACGAGGCTGCTCTTCGATTTCGTTTTCGATTTCGATTTCGTTGACATCACAGACAGATGGATTGGATGACCCCGCGGGCTCAGTGGTGCCACATGAGCCATCGTTAACTCTTGGCGACGGCCTGCTCCGCTCCAGTACTCGCTACTCCTCCTCCTCCTCCTCCAGTTGCCGCCGCCTGCTTGCGATCCCACCACTCCTGCAGGCTGGAAACCATGCGATGCCTGCGAAAGCGCAACGATTCCCCGATGCACATCTCCACGAAATCCGACTGCATCTCATGGTCGCCCTTCACCAGATTCATGTGCTCCAGCAGCTGGCTGTAGTCGCGTCCAGGTCGCCGAATATCCCGGAAGATCTGCAGTCGCAGCTCAATGTTGTGCTGCCTGGCCGCCTCGCGTTGCTCCTCGCTGAGGGGCAGTAGTAAAGATGATGATGACGATACCGCCACCGGTGAGCTCATCCCGCCGTTGTTGTTGCTGTGCGTCGGCGAGGAACCGCAGCTGGAACCGCTGCCGCTGCTCTTGACTTCCAGCTTGCAGGGACTACTGCGGTGATTGTGATTGTTGGCCATCACAGAGGCTGCACTGCTGTTGTTATTATTGTGATGATTGAGTCCGCTGGCCCAGTAATAGTGAGGATTCCCCGCCACAAGTCCCGCGTTTCGTTTCAAGGCATCGAAACTTAGCAGCGAGTTGTGATCTTCGGCGGAGGAGGCTGCTCCTCCTGCACTCTCTGCGCTTCCATTGCCATTTAAATTGCTGCTAGTTGTTCCTGCTACGCTTCCACTGCCTCCACTGGTTCCATTGTGACACGTCTGCAGTATCCGCGAGATCTCCGAGGCATCATTGATGTCATTGTGGCTGAAGTAGGCGGAAGTGGAGCTGCTGGAGCTGCTTGAGCTGCTGGCAATCGGCGCAGGAGGCACCAAAGACAAGGGAGATGGTGGCGAGATGACCGATGAACTGTGCGCATTTCCATAGCCATTGGCCAAGGGCAGGGAACCCGGCTTACTAAGGCTTAGTAATCCCGTTGCTCCAGAGCTCAGGTTGTTGTCCAGATTGCCCAGATTGCTGCTGTAGGCCGCATGGGTGGTTAGTCCGTTGAGCGGCACATAGAGCACTCCTGGTGAGGAACTGGAGCTGCAACTGATGGAGCTACTGGAACTACTGGCGCAAACTTCCCCGCCATTGCTGGCCGGGATCACAGATGCTGCTGCTGCTACGGCTGCTCCTGCTGGTATTGCTGCTGTAACAACTTGTAAAGTTCCAACTGTCGTTTCGCTAACTGGAGAGGCACTCGCAACTGGCAAAGTGCCTCCTGGAACCGCCTCCGTTTCCCCCGCTGTCGCATCATCGCTTATACCATTGATAAAATTATGCACATAGCCATTGAGCGGCGTGTCCTGGTCGCTAGTCTCCTCCTCGTTGAAATCAAAGCCAATGCCCAAGCGATCGGACATCCCAGACATTCCGGAATCACTTGAAGAAGCCTCTGAAGTTGAGCTCACAAAGCTGCTGTTGCTATTGCTGTCCTCATCGAAGCAAGTGGCATTTGGACTCCCACTTTCTAATCCCCCAGAGGAATCGCATCCCAAAACTACAGATGACGTGGCTCCCGGAATGGGTGAACCCGGCGCACTGCCCGTTGTGGACACAGAGGATACCGCGCTGGAGCAGGAAGACCGCGAATCCGTGGACATGCGACGAAATTCAAAGGCACGCGGCAGCGGACCCGCCTTCCTCTTTCGCCCCCTCGCCGTTCCATCAAGTTTTTTAGAGGATCCTCCACTTCCGCCGGCTCCTAACATCAATCCAGATATTCCGCCACCCATTCCGGGCATCCCTGGACCACTGGAACCTCCTCCACCTGGCGAAGATCCCGGCGATGAGGTTCCCGAACCCCCTGCTGCTGGCGATCCTGCTGCTCCACCCGGTCCATTGCCATTCGGCGACTTCATCGGCGCCACATCGCTCAGATCCGCCTCGTCCACCATCACCATGTGCTTGTCCTTCTTGTAGGGATTGCCAAACATGTGCTGCCGCACATTTGTCGGCTCAATCTCCCGCAGCGGATTGTCCTTGTTCTTGAGGTACTCCTGATAGTTGCCCATCTCGGCGATGGGCAGGCAGTGGCCCGAATCCTTGGCCACCAGCGAGGCGGGTCGCAGGAAAGTCTCGCGCATCCGCGCTATTTCCTCAACCAAATCGCGACGCGGTATATCAAAGGGATTGCGATACGTTTTCGCCGACGATTGATGCGTCAGCTGCGGCACCACAATCGTATAATTCTCCACGGGCTCAATTTCAGCATGCAGCTTAGCAAATGTATCCCTTAGCAGCGGATGCCGCACCAAATCCCTTCGCAACGCGGCTCCCGTGCAAAGTTTAGCCGTCTCCACCTGGCGATACGGTGGCTTTGGCTGCTTCAACTGCTTGTAGACCTTCAGGCAGAGATTCTCCTGATCCTGCTTGGCCGTATTCTTGATGTGCTTCAGCTGATTGGCGATCGTCGGCGACAAATAGTTGTCCACATTCTCGGGCAGCAGAAATTGCAGCAGCTGATACGGCACATTGATGTTGACCAAAGCTTTGCGTAAAAACGGGCAGTAATACGGAGGTATGGATCTTACATACGCATTGAATTTGTACATCAAATCGTTCGGCGGACTCATGTTGTACTTGTGGATGAGGTCGTGCAGAATGGGCAGCAGCGCGGGATAATTGTAGGCCAAAACGTAGAGATGCACCTGCGAGAAATTGGGCGCCGCTTTGAGATAACCAAAGGGCAACTCGAAGCCGTGCATTCCATTCGTGACAATCACCTGCCAGCACTTGTTCATCTCGCGCTTGTTGAGGATCTGCAGCGTCAGCGGACATCCCTCAATTTCGTATTTATCCACGGGAAAACTGCGCACCAACTGCGGTTCATCCACCGCCGGCGTGAGGATCTTCAGCTTGGGATGTGCGTCGCGCGGCGGCAGCGTTATTGCCTTCGAATCTGGCCAATAAGGCTCCGGCAGCGGCCAATAGCCAATGGGGAAGGTCTTTTGCGTTATGTGCTTCTGCACATAGATCATCTTCTTCACCGGCTGGAAGACAATGTCGGGCGGCGGCTCCGGGGCTCCCGATGCTATTCCCGATATTCCCGCGGCTAATATGGATATGGCGCTCGTTCCCGCCGATGCGCCGCCAGCGGTTGCCGCCTCCTTCGGCAGCAGCGGCTCAAACTGCAGCACCACACCAGGCTGAACCTTCTGCACCAGACTCTCGATGCACTGATTCAGCACATAGTGACTGCGAACGCGATACGAACGGCCGCCCGTCACCTCGCACATCCTCTCGATGGGCGAATCATCGTGCGGCACCTTGCCATCCACGCGTTCGTCAATCTTATTGCCCGGCATCCGGAGGACCAGCGAGAAGAGGCGCTGATCCCAGCGAAAGGGCTCCTTGGTGAACTTTGTGCCCGGTATTTGATTGCTCAGCGGCAGTATGATCTCCTGGTGGACACCGTTCCGGTACGAATACCGTCCGCCGTCCGTAATCACAATGATGACCGAGGGTTCCAGGTAGAAGGGACATCTACCCTGGCCATACGTATCAATGCCCGACTGCATCCGGTTCAGATTGAGCAGATCGAAGGCGTTGCGCAGCGATTCACCCATCGAGGTGAGGCCGTGGCTCTGCAGGTTCTTCAGCTCGTTCATGAACGTCGCATGGTTCTCCTTCCAGCCGGCCTTCACATTCGCCGGCGGCTCCTCGAACGTCAGCAGCATGTAGCGATCGCCCAGGCAGTCCTGCGTCCGCTGGCGATACTTCAGGAACGTCTCCACGGCGCCCTTGGCAATGTCCAGATACGTCTTCTGCACCCCATTCACATACGCCTTCTGGCACATGGACGACGAGGTGTCCACCAGGAAGAGTATGATGGTCATGGCGGTGGTTGTTCCTCTCTGATATCCTTGAAAATAAAAGGAAAAGGTTTCGGTTTAAAAATTTGTGTGATATATCTTAAATTAGGGTTGCACCTCGATTTTAAATCAGCTGATACTTTGGAAATTAATCAATTAAACACTTCCTTTTTTTAATAGATTATTTTACAAAAATGAAATAATAAACAGAGTAAGAAAACGTCGGTTAAACTTTACGATTTCTTAAATTAGGGTTGCACGCCGATTGTACATCAGCTGATATCTTGGAAATAAACCCGTCTTAAAGTGAAAAAACTTTTTTTTATAGATTAATTAATGATCATAGAGTAACAAGGGATATTTTTGTAATTAATCCATTTACCCTCTTAAATTGAAATACCTTTCCTTTTTAATAGCTGATTTAATAGAGTAAGAAAACGTCGGTTAAACTTTTCAATTCCTTGGTACTTCCATAATACAAATATTCATACAAAATCAAATTAAACCATGACGCAATTTTAGCTCTAAGACAAAACAATTTGAAATCTCACCGAGTGATGCATAAATATAAATTGAGTAGAGTTTAAAGCACAAAAATAGAATTTTTATATACAAATGAGGCATGAAGAAATACGGGTTTGAAAACCTTGTTTATAACCAAGAGAAACCAAAGCCAAAATATAACTTAATTTAGCCGCTAAATGCTTTCGTCAGTCAATTGTGGATGTTCCAAAATTAAATTACTACATTACTACGCACAGTTCACAAGTTCTCATAAATAACTAAAGCCACCGAGGCAACATTTACGGTTTCTTTATCAGTGAATTTTAATTAAATTAGGCTTGCCTTCTAAAACTATTTTTAGAAAATCATAAATCAGATTTGTTATTAAATAACTATCCTTTTCTCGATTTGTTTTTAAAATATAAATAAACATAAATTTTTAAAAAATGTTTGTTTTAATTTCACAAAGTTTTGAAAGCTTTATCGATAAAAGTGCTCTTATCGATCTCCTCAACAAACAATAATCGAAATCCACTTACTTTATCTGTTATCGATGATCTTCCTTTCTCTCTCTCTCTCTCTCTTTCTCTTTTCACCGAGCTCGGTTGCACTTTCTCCTGCTCTTTCCCTCGCTCTCTTTCTTCTTATTGTGGTTGCTATCTCCCTTTGTGTGTATGTGTGCTCAGTTTTTGTTTACGTTGTTAGCAGCTCTCTTCCTCTGCTTGTTGTTGCTGCTTCTGCTTCTGCTGATTCTCTTGCTTTTGTTGTTCTTGTCCTGGGCTTGATCGATTTGCTCTTTTTCTGCGTTTCGCTGTTCCGCTTTTATGGTACATGTTGCGTGAAACAGCTGACATTTGGACTGGATAAACAACAACAACAACGAACTGCAATGGGAAGCGGAACGAAATGAGATGGTAAAGAACGGGCATGCAACTGGTTGTTCGATATCAATAGGTTGCGCATACGCACTGTGTGCAATCGATTAGAAGGGGGTAATATAAATACACGTAGATAATGGAACTGCGTAATCACCGCTATCACACACAAATGCTACGAACTCTGGTTGTATAAAACAAGTGCTAATTAAACAACAAAATGGAATTAAATTCCCAGGGGGTCAGTCGTTGGTCCTCGAGAGCTGCGTTTTGTGAATATTTATGGAGGGGGGGTTGGTGGGCGGTAAATCGCTTTGACACAAATCCAAATCCACTCCACTCCACTCACTACTGGCCATTATTCCTCCTCTCCCCTCGTCGCGTCTCTTTCCATCTAATTTGTCTGTGCCCCTGCCTCCTTCTCTTTCTATTGATGCCCCACTACGGAGTCATTCACTCGATGCCACCACTACTACGCTCTGCTGGCGTCGCCTAGAGATGAGCGCGTGAGCCAGGTAGGCGAGCCCCGTGATTCTGTTCAAAATCGTTAAAAAACATTATAAAAAATAATACAAAATAAACAAAAACAAATTTTTCAAAGAGAGATTGATCTCGAAACAATACTTTTATCTTCACATTGATTATATTTACAGTTTTCTTATCTATTTGCAACATAGATCACTCTTCTCCGCCAACTCCAAAAAAAAAAGAAGGTAAAAGGTAACCGTAAAGTAAATCGATTACACAATGCCAGCGCTCACGATCGTGAGTGTGTGTGCGAGAGGAGCACGACCTACGCATCTCTGGTGGAGAGCGAGGGAGATGGATGCCGAAAGAAGTAGGAGGAGGGCAGGGAAAGGGGGATGGGATGAAAGCCGGGATAACGATAGCGATCACTCGGCGATCGCTCCAACAACCCATATCCTTACACTGCAAAACTAGGCCAAGTGCTCGGTTAAAAGGCGTTATTACCGCGGGGAGCCGTAAATTAACTCGAATTCGAGTGCAAAACATTCAATTTCTATTTGAATAAGAGCGCAAACACACACAAACACTAGCGCACATGGATATGCACACACACGCACACACTCGCGGCGCGACGTAGGGTTGCCAGATGTTCCCACCTCCGACAGGTGAAAAATACTGCGGAATTTAAAAGATTTTTAGATAATTTCACTAGATTGTCTTGAGAGAAAATCACAATTTTTTAGCAAAACTACTAGTTTAGATGCACCGCCGATCTGGCAACCCCGGGACCGTGTGGGTGGGGTGCGGGCGGCTGCGGGGGGCGAGAGGCGGCCTATTGTGCTCGATGGCAATCCGCAAAGCTCACACACACGTCTCAGAAAACGATGATATAGGGTCGAGCACTTCAGGTAATCGAGTTTTTGCGGCCAATTAATCTCGACGCAGCGATGTTTTGGCCAACCAAGTGACACGGCTCTTCGTCGGAATTCACTTATGCAGCCGCACCAGGGTTGCCAAAGCACGGCGCTCCGAACAGGCGACAGGCCAAACACACCGTTTTTTTTGGTTCAGCCGTTCAGCCAAAGGGGGGCGTTCGAAAACGGGGTGCAAAGCCTTTGATTGGTGGTCATTTTTCATTTGGATGACCTTAATTTGCATGTGATAATGCTGATTAGTGCAGTCGCGTTATCGGCCGAACAATCGCTATCGCCAGGGTTGCAGCCCGCACGCCTATCGACTGCCCGCCAAAGCTTTCAAATTTCGAAATGCCAGTGCAACTTTTAAGGATCTCCTAATATTTAAGTTTTTGATTTTGATATGCTCTCAACAACAAAAAAAAAAAGAAACAACACTCACACACAGTTACACCGGCAGCATCTTCAGGCGAGGGTTTCCGAGGGGGGGAAAACAACAACAAAAAACACACTCGCCACCAAATGAACGCCTCTCTCCGCCCAATACTTGCAATAATTTTCGATTAGCTCCTATATGCCGCGCCACGATTTTTTATTCTGTTATATTTTTACTTTGTGCCAACAGAAATTTATCACCACCGCGCGGGAGCGAGAACACATGCACACACACACACACACGACACACTGAGCGCGAGCAGTATGTGGCGCTCTCTTTCGCTCTGCCACCAAGGTGCATGGGCGAGAACGACCGACAGACGGCGCGACCAACGGTCGGACCGACCGAACGACCGACGCTATGGCCGTCCCCCTCTCGCTCGCTGCCGTACTCGTATATCGGGGAGTTGTTGCTTACACGACACACACACACAGGCGCATGCACACGCACACTGGCGCCTCGTCACTGTTGTTGCGCTGCCGTCGTCGCTCCTGCTGCTTCTTCTTCTCGATTCGCCTGTTCGCTGTTCGCCTCGTTCCGTTCCTCGGATTCCTTCCTTGCTTTCCGAGCACCACACGACCGTTCTCAAAGTTCGACTTGCTTTGATTTGTTCCGCAGTGTGGCCGTGGAAGGGTCGGGCGAGAAATCTCGTTGGTGGTGGGCGAGACTATCGGTGGAGCCATCGGTGTGCCCCTTTCGGAAACATCGATGACGGGGCCTCGGCCTATCGGCGTTTGCACATCTAAAGGATTGTTGTTTCCAACGGAAAAGTTTAAATACAACAATTTTTTACGTCCGTTTCTGCGGACGAGAAAACGGACCCAAAAGTTCCGCAGCCGTTGTATCTTAACATTTCTGCATGTATTTTGGCGCCCTCTGCCGACGTTGCTTTTAAAAAAAGTCCACGATGAATAAAATCGTATCGACATGAACCTTTTTTAGGACATTTTGGATATCCGTTATTCGCTAGGATTTTTCATTTGTTTCTCCATTTAATTCTTTAATTTTACAATTTATACAAAACATACAAAGTGGATAGACGTCCTTTGGCATAATTCCGATTTAATCCCTTAAATTTACTCGCTAATAACCTTTCGCGGTCTACAGTTAAAAAATACAGCATCACAACTACAGTGGTCACTCGAAATGTGACCCCTGCTTATGAAAATTTAGAGTTAAAACAGGCACAGTCAATCCACAAAATGTTGATTTGAATAATTGTTGAAAAATGGTTCCGTTGAACATATGCTATTTTTTGTCCATTTTTTTTTTTATTTTGGAGTGTCTGAGTCGGTCTTATAGGTTTATAAAGGAAAAATGTATATTTACCACACAACCTGCCACTGATCATCACCTTTTTGGGATGCGCCCTTGATAATTTGATGACAGAAGGACAGAAGGATACAGTAAAGTTCAAGGCCACTCCACCAGCCGTCTGTTCCTGAGGATGCCTCATTTATAAACCGTGGACTAATTACAAAATATGCGTTAATGATAATTATCATTGATTTTTTTTAACAATTAAGATATTTTGTAAAGCTTCAAAATTGAAGCTTGTCTGGTTTTAAAAGACACTTCGTTTCTTTTTGACAAAATCGGACATATCCAGAGCTCACTGCACCCCTTCGATACCGATAGCTCCTCACCACTATCGTTATCGGACCAATCACATGTTCACTTGGCTTTGGCGCGCAAACAAGTAAATAAATAGAACTGCCATAAACAATGCCGGAGAGCGTGATAGCCGGGATTCCGGTGCACTTCCCATTCGAGCCGTACCCGGTGCAGCGGGCGTACATGGAGAAGGTGATCCAGTGCCTGCGCGACGGCACCAACGGGGTCCTGGAGTCGCCGACGGGCACGGGCAAGACGCTGAGCCTGCTGTGCTCCTCCCTGGCCTGGATTCGCACCCGCCAGTCGGAGCAGCAGCAGCAGATCATCAAGATGGACAAAGCGGAGGGAGGAGCAGTGCCTGGCGGGGATCTCTCGGAGCTGGCCAAGACCGTGGGTCGTGCCAACAACTGGGGCGTGCCCAAGGTCATCTACGCCTCGCGCACCCACTCCCAGTTGACGCAGGCGATGCGGGAGCTGAAGCGCACGGCCTACGCCAATATGCGCTCCGTGGTGCTGGGCTCCCGCGACCAGCTGTGCATCCATCCGGAGGTGATGAAGGAGCAGGGCAACGCCAACAAGACGAACATGTGCAAGCTGCGCGTGCACTCGAAGACCTGTTCGTTTCAGATGCGCGTGGAGTCGCGAAAGGATCATCCGGATCTGCGGGGACCCACGGTCATGGACATCGAGGACCTGGTTAAGGTGGGCCAGCGCCTCAAGATCTGTCCGTATTTCGCTTCGCGGGAACTCGTGCCCCAGGCGGACATCACCTTTATGCCCTACAACTATCTGCTCGATCCGAAGGCGCGCAAGGCCAACAAAATCGAGCTGGGCAACACGATTGTGATCCTCGACGAGGCCCACAACATCGAGAAGATCTGCGAGGAGTCCGCCTCGGTGCAGATCAAGTCCTCCGACGTGGCCATGGCCATCGAGGATGTCACGCATGTGATGAAGGTCTTCGCCAGCGGCGAATCGCAGGACATGGGCGGCGATGAGCCCAAGGACTTCACCCTCGACGACCTCACGCTGCTCAAGGAGATGCTGCTCGAGCTGGAGAAGGCCATCGATGCGGTTGTGGTGGAGAACGCCGTCGAGGGAACCACATTTCCTGCCTCCATGATGTACGAGTTGCTCGGCAAGGCGAACGTAAGTTTATGTGGGTTTTTATACCGCTGATATCTCGGAAACTATAAACGCTAGAAAGTTGCGATTCACCATATGGATTTAAGGGGTTCCTACGCAGCGAAAGTTTGTTTCATCCGAGCTCCA